AGCAGGCACTGGAAAATTGGATCTACTCTACAGGAGATGGGGTGCTAGCTTCAACAGCCAATGCCCTTAAACTGGGATGATAGAAATTAGCATTCCTGGGGCCGGTGCTGTGGCACAGTGGGTAAAGCGGCTGCCTACAGTGCCATTATCCTATATGGGTGCCGGCTGCTCCACTTCCTATCCAGCTCTCTGCTGTGGCCTGGGGAAGCAGTAGAAGATGATCGAAGTCCTTGGGTCCCTGCACCCCTGTGGGAGACCTGGAAGAAGCTCCTAGCTCCTGGCTTCAGATTGGTGTAGCTCCAGCAGTTGCAGCCATCACGGGGAGTGAACCAGTGGGTGGAAGCTCTCTCTCTCTCTCTCTCTCTGCCTTTCAAATAAATAAATCTTTAATAGCATTCCCCACTCCCCACTGTGCCAAGGTTGATACATTCATTTGTGAAGCATTCCATATTTTAAAAAATAAAAATATTGGATAGACACCAGAGTGTTAGTCTTCTCAAAGAAAAACATACAAGGTGTAGTGGTGTAGGCACAAAAGTGATTCAGTATAGAACATGGTTTTTGGAACCTCATTTTTCCTGGCTGCAATGACTAACTCTAAAGAAGAATGATAACTTACTCAAGTTTCAAAAAATGTTTCAGGCAAAAATTTGGTGAGTGGTGAATCTATTTTAAAGAGTTATTTACATATGTATTTGAAAGTTAGAGAACTTCCATCCATTGGTTCACTCCACAATCCCATGCTGGGCCAGGTCAAAGCCAGGAGCCAGGAGCTTCATCTGGGTCTCCCACAAGGGTGGCAAGGGCTCAAGTACTTTGGGCATCTTCTGCTGCTTTTCCTAGGCCATTAGCAGGGAGTTGGATTGGAAGTGAAGCCAGGACATGAAGCAGCACCCATATGGGATGCTGGCATCACAGGTGGTAGCATAACCAATTAGGCCACAATGCTGTCTTGAGTGGTGAATTTTAAGGAATGTAGGAAGCTGATCAATTTTATAGTTGCCTTTATTTGAAGATAATGACTAAATTTTTGTCATAAACTTGATGAATTTGAGGTGCCTGAGAGGAATGTTAAGCATTTGCTGGAGGTATTGGAAGAGATTCGACTTTAGGTAAGGAGATGAATTCGACGAGGTTCTCTATAAATAATGCAAAAATCTGACATTTTTATCCCAATAATGATTTACTATGGATTGGGACCAGGTTAAGTACACAGGAACTGAATTACATGGCAGTCTAGTAAGGGAAGAATTCAAATATAGGTACAAGGCTTTTAAATTTATTACTTCATGGACTTAAGAGCTTAGGAATTTTCTCCACTTAATTCCAAAACCTAATTTTTAAAGAAAGATTTATTTATTATTTGAAAGGCAGAATTACAGAGAGTGAGGGAGAGATCGATCTTCCTGCCACTGCTTCAGTCCCAAATAGAGGCAATGGCTGGGACTGAGTCAGGCCAAAGATAGGGGCCCAGAACTCCATCCAGATGTCCCACATGGGTGACAGGGACCCAAGCACTTGGGTCATCTTTCGCTGCTCTCCCAGGACTATTACTAGGGAGCTGGAAATGAAATGGGGCAGCCAGGATTCAAACTGGCACTCATTTGGGATGCCATTGCAGGCCACAGATTAACCTGCTGCACCACAATGCCAGTGTCCCATCCTTTTCTTTGCAAATATGTTTGACACATGTATTTTCTGAGTTCAGCATTTTGCCCAAACCAAGACTAGTTCTTAATTTTCTTGATCCATTGGTAGGCTGTCTGTGGCTTCTAAATCACTGAACCATCTACATAGGAAATTTTCTTGGCTTTGAGGAGTTCATCTTCCTTTATAAATGTCTTTTTTTTTGACAGGCAGAGTGGACAGTGAGAGAGAGAGACAAAGGTCTTCCTTTGCCGTTGGTTCACCCTCCAATGGCTGCCGCGGCCGGCGCACCGCGCTGATCCGATGGCAGGAGCCAGGTGCTTCTCCTGGTCTCCCATGGGGTGCAGGGCCCAAGGACTTGGGCCATCCTCCACTGCACTCCCGGGCCACAGCAGAGAGCTGGCCTGGAAGAGGGGCAACTGGGACAGAATCCGGTGCCCTGACTGGCACTAGAACCTGGTGTGCCGGCGCCGCAGGCAGAGGATTAGCCTATTGAGCTACAGCACCAGCCTTTATAAATGTCTTAATCTGGTTTTCATAACTGACCCTGAGAGCCAACCAGATCCCTGCTAGCTGGTGCCCCTGAACACTGAGGGCTACTCTCAATCTCTAAGTCAAAACTTTAGGTTTTGACAGGCATTCTGAACTTGGAATAAACATACAAAAGCACCTGAGGGAAAATAAAAAGTACCTACATTGTCTGTAGAAGGTTGCACCCCTGTGGGGTCAGTGCTGTAGCATAGCATGTAAAGATGCTGCCTGCAATGCCATCATCCCCTATGGGTGCTGATTCCAGTCTCAGTCGCTTCACTTTTGATCCATCTCCCTAACAATGGCCTGGGAAAGCAGCAGAGGATGTCCTTGGGCCCCTGCATCCTGTGGCAGAGATGAAAGAAGCTCCTGGCTCCTGGCTTTGATCTGGCCCCATCCCAGCCATTGGACCATTTAGGGAGTGAACCAGTGGGTTTAAGATTCTCATTCTCCCTCCCGCCTCCCTCCCACTCTGCCTTTCAAATAAATAAAATAAATCTCTTTTTAAGATTTATTTTATTTATTTGAAAGAGTTACAAAGAGATGTAGAGCCAGAGAGAGAGGTATGTCTTCCATCCATTGGTTTACTCCCCACATGGCTGCAATGCCCAGAGCTGAGCTGATCAGAAGCCAGGAGCTTCCTCTGGATCTCCCACACAGGTGCAGGGGCCCAAGGACTTGGGCCATCTTCCATTGCTTTCCCAGGCCATAGCAGAGAGCTGGATCAGACGTGGAGCAGTTGGGACTCGAACCAGCACTCATATGGAATGTCAGTGCTGCAGTCCAGGGCTCTAACCTGCTGCGCCACAGCGCTGGCCCCTAAAATAAATCTTAGAAAATGAAAATAAAAAAGTTGTACCCTTCAATGTAATTGTAGAAAAGCCTGGCCCAAATCCAAGATCTACTTTGAAAGAGGTTATTTCTCAAATCCCCATCTGAAAAATGGGTAGCAAAATAACTTTATCTATGCCTAGAAGGATTTTTCTTAGGCAAGCAGATGCAGTTAAAAATAAAGGGCTTAGCCAATGTTAGCAACTGTAAGATTAACCCTTCTAAGAAGTATAGTGCCACTCTACAGATAAGGAAACATGAAATAATGAGATGTCACCTAATGACCCAAAGTCACAAAGGCAGGGATCAAGGTAGAGTGGGTTCACACCACCATATTCTGAGGCTTTTACTATGCCATTCTCCAAGGTGTTGGGGATGAAGAAATGAAGCAGACCTAACACATACAAATTCTACCTCCTCCCACAGTTTTAGGTCTGGGAATGGCAACTAGGGCTATGAAATCCAAAGCAGTTCAAACAGTGCCAGTTTCTCAAAGGGCCAAAGACCACAGAACCCTAGCTGTCTGTAGCACTCAGAAAGCTGAGCCATTGCATCAGCCTGACCATACGCACCCAGGGACAAACAAATGCTGTCAAGAACTTCTATCAAGTTCTCATATCAAAGGAGTGGCTTCAGGGTGACCCCTGTGCCCCCATATTTTACATGGATCCAAACTGCTGAATTCACCATCTAAGCCCTCTGGATTATTCATCACTGACTGATATGAAGGGATATGGAAAGCGTTCATGAAAGAGATGGTGTTGAGAATTTATCTTGTCAGTCTTTCCTAAGGAAGATGCCTTAGGGAAAAAAAAGTCACAGGAGTAGTATACTGCCCAAATACTAATGTGAAGAGTCAAAGCTAGCTAGCTTTTCCCCTAGGAACAAAGACCAAAAGATCATTGTATAACTCTACACAATCACTTTAGTTTTAACTCCTGAAAGGCTGGCGGTCTAAGACCTAAGGAGCTGGACACAAAGACACATACACTTCCAGGTGTGGATGTTTATTTTCACAAAAAAGACAACAATGTCTTTCCACATACAAGTATTTACAAAACCCCACTGATTCACCAATCTAGAACCTGGGTTTTTCCCACTTCTCAACATAGTTGGGAACATGGAAACATTAATACCCACACAATTCCCAGAGATGGAATTTATCCATCACACAGTGCAGATTACCTCAAAGTGCACTTACCTGCACAACTCAGGCTAAGAACCTCGTGATATGAACCTTATGGCCAAGGTTTCATGAGTCTATTTGGTTTCAAACCATGCAAACCTGAACAAGTGTGCTGCTACACTAAACTCAAAACTGGTTCTCATTTTACAATTAAAAAGGTTCTCAACACTTTAGCAACTATACAGAATATGAAGGTTTATTTCAAAAAAGATTACATTTTTTTTAACCAGGATACACAGATGCACTTAATGTAACAGTACCTTCTGCAAAAATAGGTTACATAATACTCAGAAATGCAAGGAACAATCTTATTCTCTAAAAATTAGATGGCAGACTTTTTAAGCTTAAACAACCTTCAAAATGGAGGCTGAAAATGCTTGGTGACAAGAAGTATCTCTAGAGCCTGATACCACAGAGCTAGTGCTGCAAATTAAACCACTACCACACAGCTGCAAGCTACTCTGCATATTCACACAGCGTTCAACAAAACAGCTTCAATTCCAATCTTTTCCAATGTGTCTCGGTGCTGCAAGAAAACAAGTTGAATGGTACACAAAACTATTAAAAGTTACAACAGAACTATTTAAACATCTTCTCTAAAATTGAGAAAAGCAATCAAGTTAAATTTTAAAAAGAAAAAAAAAAAAGTAGGACAGAATTCTCAAGCAAGCCAGAGGTCCTCTTCTTAAGTAGTCAAGTAAAGTTTATAGGAGATTTCAATAAATTATCTTGAAACCATGGCAGATAGCTGATTTTCAGAATCGTCGTGGAGGTCCCCCCTTAAATGGCTTAAATCCAGAACCACTTCCTCTTGGCATGGAATTGCCACTGATTTGTACAATTCTGTTAATTGGGGATGCATTACTGAAAAGGATTTAAAAGAAAAAAAAGTCAGAGAACGTATCACTTACTTTATCAGGCAATGCTCCATATGTACCATTACTAACCCCATTTTATGAAGACACTGAGACGTGCAGGTTAAGAAATGTGTCCAAGGTCACACAGCTAAACACTGTTGGAGCAAAGCCCACTACTCAAAACATTTCAACATGTAGACCCCGATCAGCAGCATCAGCTCTAACTAAGAGCTTATTAGAAATGCAAATTCTCAACCCCACTGTAGCTCCTAAAAAACTCTGGGGATAGGACCCAGCATCTATGTTTTAACAAACCTTCTCGATGATTCCGGCATATGCTAAACCTTGGGAACCTCCAGTTACAGGAAGTCATTCAAGAAGTATTTCTGGAATTTTTATGTACAATGCAACATAGTAAACACTCGGAACACATAAAAAATGGCTCCATCCCCAAAACATCCTGTAAAAAGGTGGGACGTGAAACGTTACAGAAAGGGCTGAATCCCAGGCTGAGAGTCTGGACTAGACTGTGACCAAGAGAAAGCTGCTTGTGGTTTTAGAATGAATAAATGGTATAACAGTGGGTGCTCCAATCACTGCATTTAGAAAGAACTTGAATAAATGTATCAGGAAAAAAAAAAAGACTAATTTGAGAAGATTTGATAAAAAATGAGGAAGAATCAATAGCTACTAGAAACACATTATTTTTTATTTGAAAGGGGAAGAGAGGGGCGTGAGGAAGGAAAGGAGAGAGGGGTATCACTCTCATCTTCTGGTTTACTCCCCGAAAGCTCACAACAATTGGGTCTTAGCCAGGTCTCCCACATGGGTGGCAGACACCCAACTACTTTAGCCATCACTTGCTACCTCCCAGGATACACATTAGTGGGAAGTTGGAAACAGGAGCAGAGCTGGAATGTGAACTCAGGCATTTGGATATGGGATGCAGGTATCCTAAGGGACATCTTAACTACTATACTGAATGCCCATGGCCCTAGAAACAATTTAAAAAAACAAACCACACTTAGAACATTATGCTAGAATGAATATAAATATGATGACACCAATATTTTTCCAGCTGGGGTAAATGAGATAGATAGCAGCATTTGCAAATTAAAAAAAGAAGCTGGGGGTGAGGGGGGCTGGGCATTGTGGTACAATAAGTTAAGCTACTGCCAGGGACACTTGCATGGCACACAGAAGTTACTGGGATCAAATCCTGCCTCTGCTTCAATCCAGCTTGCTCCTGATGTGCATGGGAGCCAACAGATGATAGCTCAGGTACCTGGTTTCTGCCACGTGGGAGATCTGGATGATGGAGTTCCTGTCTGTGGCTATTGTGGGCATTTGGGGAGTAACCCAGCAGACAGAGCTCTGTCTCTCCTCCCACCTGTTTCTCTCTTCCTCTTCCTTTTAATAAATGAAACTTTTTTAAAAGAGAAGGAAAAATAAGAAGCTGGAGGGTGGTACTGTAGCACAGCAGGTTAGGAAACTGCTTGCCTGCTTGGAATGCCAGGATCCTATACTGGAACATCCGGGATCAGCTCACACCTCTGCTTCCTATCCAACTTCCTGCTAATGTGTACCCCAGGAGGCAGCAAACGATGCCTCATCTACTTAGGTCCCTGACACCCACACGGAAGACTAGATGGAGTCCCTGGTTCCTGGCTCTTGGCTTCAGCCTGTCCCAACCTCAGCTGTCACTGGCATACAGGGAGTGAACTGGTAGATGGAACATATCTTTCTGTCATTCTTTCAAATAAATAGACAAATTTTAAAAATAAAGAAAATAATAAGCTAGAGGCAACAGGAAAGGAATGAATTTGCCAAGGACCTTGAATTGATGGAAACAGCAAGGCATTCACATGGAAATGGTGATAAAGAGCTAAAAATAAAGAGCAGTGTCAAAATGCAATCATCTGAAAGAGGGGAAGCAAAGGAAATCAGGAAGAAGGAAATTATAATGCTTTAGAACACAGAAAGCTGCTTCAAAATAAAGAAAAGCAACAGTGTGAAATAGTGCTTAGCCACCAAGGAGCATGAGAACTCAGAAAATAATGGACTCTGGGGCTGGCGCTGTGGCACAGCAGGTTAAAGCCCTAGCCTGGAGTGCTGCCAGCATCCCATATGGGTGCTGGTTCGTGTCCCAGTTGCTCCTCTTCCAATCCAGCTCCCTGCTAATGCACTTGGGAAAGCAGTGGAAGATGGCCCAAGTACTTGGGCCCCTGCACCCACCTGGGAGACCCCGAAGAAGCTCCTGGTTCTTGGGTTTGGACTGGCTCAGCTCCAGCTACTGTGACAATCTGGGAAGTGAACCAGCAGATGGAAGACATCTCTATTTCTACTTCTCGCTGTAACTCTTTCAAATAAATAAATATACATCTTTAGGGGCTGGCGATGTAGTGCAGTGGGTTAATGCCCTGGCCTGAAGCGCCAGCATCCAATATAGGTGCCAGTTCAATTCCCGACTTCTCCACTTCTAATCCCTCTCTTTGCTATGGCCTGGGAAAGCAGTGGAAGATGGCCCAAGTCCTTGGGCCCCTGCACCCACATGAGAGAGCAGGAAGAAGCTCCTGGCTCCTGGTTTTGGATCGGCACAGTTCCAGCCATTGCAGCCAATCGGGGAGTGAACCATCTGATAGAAGACCTCTCTCTCTCTCTCTGTCTCTCTCTCTCTCTGCCTCTCCTTCTCTCTCTGTGTAACTCTGACTTTCAAATAAATAAATAAAATCTTAAAAAGAAAAGAATGGAATCTGTATTTTAAGAGCAGTCACTGGTGGCCTTGAAAATCCAATGACAGAATAGAATGCCTGGATTCAGGTCCTGGTTCCACTTCAGATTCCAGCTACTTGCTAATACACAACCTTGGGTCAAGTAATTGGGTCCCATGTGGGAGACTTGGATTGGGTTCCAGGTTCCTGGCTTCGATCCAGACCAGGCTGTTGTGGTCATTTAGGAAATGGACGAGCAGATGGAAGATTTCTGTCTCTGCCTTTCAAACAAGTAATAATAGAATGAATGATGAGGTTGTGTAACCACAAGTATAACTCTCACTGAAGTTGGACAGAAGGGACAGAATAGTGAAACTTAAGCTAGGTCAGTCACTCCTCTAAGGTGAATGAGAGAAAAGAGAGAAATGGGAAATGGAGAGGTTGAGGATTTGGTGACTAAAGTGCCAATGTAGACACAGGGTTTAAGAGAATGAATCAAGCTTGTCTCTTAGCATATAAAATGCCTTTGGGTCAAATATCCAAAAGTTTTGCTGGAGTTACTTGGAAAAAAAAGGAAAGAGAACATATTTTTAGCTTCTTTTTCTCTCAAGAATTTTAGAAAGGCTAGGTAGCGAAAAGGAGGATCGAGATTTGAGGTTAATGTATATTACTGTTTGGATTCCAATACACACACACCTACATCTAGATTTACTTGCCAGACCAATCAATTAAGTTAGAAATTAAGATCAGCTGCCCCGCATAGGCTCCACCTTGGCAAGGCTTTTGAGTTGATATAGGGAAATGCTGGGGCAGACATAGGCTTTTTACCTGCCACAGTTTAATCCCTCAAAAGCCATAACAACCTTTAAGGAATGGATAAAAGGCTGAGTTGTGTGCTGGCAGAAATCTTAATGATGAGCTGCTTACCTTGAATGCTGGGTTATTATGCCTGCTCCTGCCCGGCCATCACCCATTCGCCTCGTATCATGATAGCCAGGCCCTTGTGAAGGTGGACCGTGCCAGTCTTTTCTTGGTCCACTCGTGTCCCGTCCATGGCGTTCAACTACATGTCGTTCTTCAGGATAGTGCTAAAGAAAAGCATATTGAAAAAGGAGTCATGACACCTTCAATCTCATGCCAATTTATTTACATTGCTGTGCTTTTAATGTCAGAAGCAAATCAATAAGATGTCTAAGAAAATAAAAGGATGAATAATGCAAAATCATATGCAGAGTTTCTACCAATCTCATAGAAGCTACAAGCTTCAGGGTAGAGTATGGGGAAATGATTCAACACTTTATTTTCTACTGCTGCACCTTCTAGAAGCCAAGCATTTTTTGACCCTTAAGAACTTTAAATACCTGGATGTATATAAATAAGAAGGCATAGTCATAGGTCAAAACTTTAAGACAGATCAGGGTGGGGTATATTATCAACCAATCAGGACAATATGCACAGAAAAACAGCAGTAATCTTACTTTATTTAGTACTAGATTAGTGCTGTGGCTCTTACAAGGTGACAGTGAAGACAGGACAATGTAGAACATGACATGATGATGACATGACATGAAGAACAGAGTGGTAAACAAAAAAACACAAAAGTCACAGAACTAAGACCTGAGGTGAGAAGAGTCAAGAGTTGATATTTGGCCTACAGGCAATAGAGTTGAAGGGACCTCCCCAGGAGAGGCTAATACTAGTGGAACAACTTTCAGACTAACATGAAAAGGAGAGTTTTCAAGAGAGGACATAAGGTGTCTTTTATCAGGACATCTTTTCTAAAAGGACATCTGAAAGCAGGGGGCTAGCCTATGACACTTCTTTACGTTTCCTCTAAACAGGGCAGACAATCTTGATTGTACACTAAGAAGTTCTGTTCAGAGCAAACACAGCTGAATGAACTTACCCGTCAACATTTCTACTTGCTAGAGATGTTCAAACTTATCTTAGCCATCAGGTCCAAATCTATATTATAAATACTCTGATGAAATGGAGGGTGTGTAACTATATAGCAATATTAGATAAAATGCCAAGAGATTGAAAAATGTGAACAAAAATGCTATTATGGGGGCCAGCTTTGTGGCACAGTGGGTTAAGCTTCCTCCTGTGATACTGGTATCCCATGTAAGCACCGGTTCCAGTCCCGGTGCTCCACTTCTGATTCAACTCCCCACTAATGCACCTGGGCAAAGCAATGGAAGATGGCCTGAGTACTTGGGCTCCTGCTACCCACTTGGGAGACCCGGATGGAACTCCAAGTTCCTAGTTTCAGTTTGGCCCAGGCCTGGCTTTTGTCAGCACTTGGGGAGTGAAACAGCAGATGGAAGTTTTTATCTCTTGTTTTCTCTGCCTTTCAAATAAATAATTTTTTTAAAAAATGCTATTATGGAAACTAATATGTACTCAAAAGCAAAACAAGGCACCATAATGCAAACACACATACTTCAGGATTGGTATTAGCATGCAATTTACAGAAGTATATCTGTGCTGTCAACTCACAGGCTACTGTTTCCACTCACTCACTTTGAGAATCAAGAGAACAGAAAATAGGCAAAAGTTTTATTTCAGTTCTATACTTTAAGCTATGTCATGAAATATAAAAAAAAAAAAGGAAAATGTGAAATAGAAACACACGTATCGAGTAAAGATTTCCCACCCATTTTGACAGCCTCAATTTCTTAAGAAGATGCTAAACCAGTCACTAGGAAAGTTCATTTACTGAATTTAGCAAATCTCAAATTTCAGTAGGAAGTTTATTTCAAGGCTAATACCCTACTTCTTTGGACTACTGAAGATACAACTACTGATAATAATCTATGAGAAAATGTGACACCTTTTAGGAGCCACTTGTTTCTTAGTCATTCCAGGCTAACTCACTAGGCCACATCAAAGTGATACTATATGGACATGATATCTTACATGAACTCTAAATCTATTTCTAAAGACTTGACAGTTGCATTCACCTGTGCTCCACTTCCCCGGTCTGAGATCACTCGGTCTCCCTCTCGGCTTCCATAGCCTGAAGCATTACTGCGACTCCCAGGAGGGGCACCTCTCACACTGTGTCCTGAGACTTCTCTCCCAGATCGCTCTGGTCTTTCAACTCTGTTAAGCAAAACACAACATGTAAGCTCAAAACTGAAGTATCATTTTTTTATGATTATCATTTTTTATGTGCCACAATGGAGCATTAACAAGCACACAGACACCACCTTGTTTCACGCTTATCAGCAGACATGCCTCCTTCACTTTTCCAGGAGGTTGGTCTGGAAGGGTTGGGCCCTGCTTCCCGAGGATGTCGAGGGTGAGCCAGGTCAGGCCTGTCATGAATGATCACTGTTCTCCTGTCTTCTCGGTCTCCTCGGACTTCTCGCCGATCTGTCTCTCTAAGCTCATTCCTCGGTGGTGGAGGTTCATTTCTTCTGGAATCACTGAAATTTTTGGGATACCTTTCAAAGCCTGGATCTTCTCTTCGTGCCGTAGGTCGTGTTTTTTTCCCTTCACTTTGGCCAACAAAGCGTTCCCGCCTATTGATTAGAAATAAAGAACACAGGTCTTGAAAATATTTACTTGGCCTTATTCTTCCTAACTTTGTTGGCATAACATTATAATGATTACTCCTCCTTCAAAATGAACTTAAGGCAGGGGCTGGCACTGTGGGATAGTAGGTTAAGTCTCTGCCTATAGAGTTGGCATCCCATATAGGTGCTGGTTCATATCCTGTTGCTCCTCTTCCAATACAGCTCTCTGCCAATGGCTTGGGAAAGCAGTGGAAGATGGCCTAATGGCTTGGGCCCTGGCATCCACATAGGGGACCCAAAAGAAGCTCCTAGCTCTTGGGCTCCAACCAGCCCAGTTCTGGTCGTTGCAGCCATTTGTGGAGTAAAGCAGCGGATGGAAGACCTCTCTCTGTCTCTCTTGTCTGTAAGTCTGCCTCTCAAATAAATAAATAAATCTTAAAAACAAAAGTGAGCTTAAGGCAAAGTCCTTGACCAAGAAAGCTACAATTATTAATAATTTTTAAAATATATTTATTTTCTTTGAAAGTCAGAATTACAGTGAGAGAGAGAGAAGACAAAGATCTTCCATCCGTAGGTTCACTCTTCAAATGCCCACAGCAACCAAGGTTGGGCCAAGGCTGAAGCCAGGAACCAGGAGCTTCTTCCAGGTCTCCCACATGGGGGTGCAGTGGCCTAAGCACTTGGGCCATCCTCTGCTGCTTTCCCAGGCACATTAGCAGGGAGCTGGATTGGAAATGGAGTAGGCGGGACTCGAACTGGTACCCATATGGGATGTCAGCACTGCAGATGGCAGCTTAACCCGCTGTGCCATAGCGCCACCCCTCAATCAATCTTCTTTTCAATTGAACTATAAATTTATGGCACACTCAAGTCATTACCAACCTGAAGATCTTTTTACTGTATTTAGCAATGAAGGGACACGCAAAGCTAACAATGTTCCCATTCTTTTAAAGGAAGAAAAAGCCAACCAACCTAACCTTATTATGGTAGCCTATTTAATTTTGAATACTGAGGCACATTCTCATAAACAAAAACCAAAATCAAACATATAACATATAATTTGTTCTGAACACTCAATTCTGTCCTGAGTTTTTGTTTTTAAGATTTTTTTTTTTTTTTTTTTTTTGTGGACAGGTAGAGTGGACAGTGAGAGAGAGAGAGAGAGAAAGAAAGGTCTTCCTTTACCGTTGGTTCACCCTCCAATGGCCACTGCGGCCACTGCACCGCGCTGATCCAAAGCCAGGAGCCAGGTGCTTCTCCTGGTCTCCCATGCGGGTGCAGGGTTCAAGAACCTAGGTCATCCTCCACTGCACTCCCGGGCCACAGCAGAGAGCTGGACTGGAAGAGGAGCAACCGGGACAGAATCTGGCACCCTGACCAGGACTAGAACCCGGGGTGCCGGTGCCACAGGCGGAGGATTAGCCTGTTGAGCCGCGGTGCCGGCCTGTTTTTAAGATTTTAGCACAGAACCAAAGTGTTCACCAGCAAGGCTCAGATATGAAATATAACCATTTTTTATTTATCCACCTACCTTTCAAAAGATGAAGACTGTACTGATGAACTCTCTGGAAACCTGCCCCTCTCTCGATGGTCAAAGTCATTAAATCTGTTCTGTTGGCGAGAGTAGTCAGATCCATGGCCAAATCGGGCATCTGTATCTAGAGACAACTTTTTATTCTCGCTCCAGTAAGGATCATCTCGCCTTGAAGAGAAATATTTGCTCATTTATATAAATTAGTTTTATAATACCCAAACAACACTTACTTGGAGTCATACATACCACACGTTAGGACTGTGGACACAAGAAGGCTTATAAACTCAAGATAACATATTCAGTTAGAAGTATAAGGTAGCAAAGAATTGTAACTTATGTGAAGTCATATAGTGCTAGAGAGGCTTTACAGGAGAGAAAAACTGCCTAAATTACTAAATGGAGAAGACAGACAAGATGAAATGCTTAACACTACTCTAGACTAAAATTCTCACCAGTAGCCCATAATCTTTTCATTTATCCTTAACCTTGTGAAGGTTAAAGGGATAAGCTCCATGCGTAATTCATTTACTTCACCTATTTCTTCACAGTCAGCTCAATCAGAATTTATAATAAGAAAATTAAATGAATATATTTGCATTTTAAAATTTGTTAAGAAGCATGAGCTTCTTAACACCAGAATCATTTTTCAGTCTTCCCAATCTCACAACTTCGATTTTTGTACTGTCTGCACTACCTTTTCAAAACAGGTCTGAGTTTGAGAACCATTATTATTATTTTTTATTTTTTTTTGACAGGCAGAGAGAAAGGTCTTCCTTCGCTGTTGGTTCACCCTCCAATGGCCGCCACGGTCAGCGTGCTGCGGCCAGCACACCGTGCTGATCCAAAGGCAGGAGCCAGGTGCTTCTCCTGATCTCCCATGTGGGTGCAGGGCCCAAGGACTTGGGCCATCCTCCACTGCACTCCCTGGCCACAGCAGAGAGCTGGCCTGGAAGAGGGGCAACCTGGACACAATCCGGTGCCCAGACCGGAACTAGAACCCAGTGTGCCGGTGCTACAGGTGGAAGATTAGCCTATTGAGCCGCGGTGCCGGCGAGAACCATTTTTTTTTTTTTTTTTTAAGATTTATTTATTTGAAAGTCAGAGTTACACAGAGAAAGGAGAGGCAGAGAGAGAGGTCTTCCATCGGATGGTTCACTCCCTAATTGGCCGCAACAGCCGGAGCTGGGCCGATCTGAAGCCAGGAACCAGGAGCTTATTCCAGGTCTCCCACGTGGGTGCAGGGGTCCAAGCACTTGGGCCATCTTCTATGCTTTCCCAGGCCATAGCAGAGTGCTGGATTGGAAGTGGAACAGCTGGGTCTCAAACCGGCGCCCATATGAGATACCAGAGCTTCAGGCCAGAGCGTTAACCCGCAGCACCACAGTGCTGGCCCCGAGAACCATTCTTGAAGTCTATCGTAACCATACATTTCTAGTCAATCATTTGGCATAAAGAAGGGAAAAAGAGGGGCCAACATTGTGGCACAGCAGATTAAGCTACCACTTGCAACACCCACATCCCATATGGGTGCTGGTTTAAGCCCTGGCTGCCACTTTCAATCTACCTCCCTGCTAATGTGCCTGGGAACAGAGGAAGACAGCCCAAGTGCTTGGGCCCCTGCACCCATGTGGGAGACTCATCTGAAGTTCCCGGCTTTGGCCTGACGTAGTCCTGGCAGTAGCAGCCATTTGGGGAGTGAATTGGCAGATGGAAGATGTTTCTCCTTTTCTCTCTGTAACTCTGCCTTTCAAATAAATAAATAATTTTTTTTTTTTTTTTTTTTTTTTTTTTTTAAAGAGGAGGTAGTGGGAACGAAAGAAGAGCACAATGTTCCTACTCGATAATGTACTGGGTACACCCCCTGTACTGTAATCTTCCCCTCCCTACTGATCGTGACCTTTGATTCCAGTGATAGAAATGTGTATCTTCTACTGCTCTGGACTTGGTGTACAGGAAATAAGACAGCAAGGTAAACTGTTAAGGAAGAAATTAAGCAACTACCTATGATCTACATCACGTGGGCGTTTCAAAGAATTCCTTTTTTCTTGTTCATAACGAAGCTGCTGCTGCTGTCTTCTGAGCTCCTCTCGCTCCCGAGCAATCCGCTCAGCTTCCTTACGACGCTCCTTCAGACAACACAGAAGGAAGAGCCAACCAATGCAAGACGGAAACAGAAGGTAAGTACATATGCAACCCTGTTTCAACCCCATCATAAGAAACCATAACAGGCAAGCACCAGGCAAAACACACACCTGGGACAAATACATATATTTGATTTCAACAATCTAGACTATGGCTATTGTTCTGCAATACTAAAGTAACAGGGTTTGGGTGGTGAAAGCCAGCAAGTGTTTGGGAAGGTCAGATTTAGTTTAGTCATTTGAATAATGCAAAAGCATCTAAAGGGAATCAGACACAGAGTTCTTAGTAATGTATGGCAATTAAGTGCCTTAAAATCTTGGGTTGCAATTCTGCAAAGAGAGGCATTATTTCCTTCCAGCCTTGGGAAATCATTCCCACTGTAATATGTCAGGAAATAGTTATTATCTTCTAAGACTGGGATAGTGACAGAGCCTGGATTACAACTACTCTGGACTCATAGTCCTATGCTCAGACTATTAGGCTGCCATGATATTGCAGAGCTAGAGTTATTACCAATTATGTAGAACAAAATCATTACTAAGCGGATTTTAACTAGTGCCTAATTCATTGTTATCTTTCAGGGACACTTAAACACTCATTAGCTGAACTCATTCCATAGAAGCTTTACAAGAAGTAAAGCAAATTTTAGGGCAAAATCACAAGGTTTGAAAAAGGTGAGTTATTTAAGATGAAAAGATTTTCTGACTGCACCTGTTCAATACGAATGCGTTCCCTTTCCAAGCGTTCGCGTTCCATTCTCTCTCTCTCTAGTTTTTGCCTTTCAATTTCTAGGCGCTCTCTCTCTCTCTGTAAGCGTTCCCGTTCTTCCCGTTCACGAATTATTCTAATGCGTTCTCGCTCTCGACGCTCTCTTTCTGCAATCTCTCTTCGTCTACCAAAAATCAGTATTTAGAAATACTTAAATTATGCTAGCACTGTGTGAAAGAGAATAGCTTTTGAATTTGAATTTTTCCTTGAGGTTGTCAATTTTAACTTAACTCAATCTAAGTAGTTTTAATGTAATTGGAAAGAGAACTCAAAATAAAACTTTAAACAGATTCCAAGACTGTTACTTATTTATAAGACTGTCAGCTGAGCAGTCGAATTTTATATAGAGGAACTGCCTTTTACATGATTCCTGTTTAAATAAAAATCCCACTATAGTTAATAGCCCATTAATTAATTAACATGTTTAAAAGGAAATATTCTACATATATGAATTTACAAAACTACAACTTTTATCAACTCTTTTTGATAGAAAATTTCCCATTGTCTATTATATATTCTGTCTCCTAAAACAAGGCATATACTTTATTTTAATGACTCGGGATTATAACCAACAACATTAATTATACCAAGTGCTACATGTGACAAAATGATGCCCTAAAGGGCACTTATTCAGTGTTCACTGGCCCATTAACATATGGCTCCAGGTAACACGCTTTTTTGAGTCAAAGGTAGTTCAATCGTTTGTCCAACTGAATTAAGTTATTGTATTAGACTTCTAAAAGTGTTCTGTCATTTGCTCATTCTCAGGCAGTGTATAATTGTGTCTCTCAGTAGGTCTTCCTCCAGCAACCCAGTGGTTCTTTTGGGTCAGCAGTACTTCCACAGAAATCAGTGGGATATTCTTAATGATCATAACAACCATGGGGCTGCTACTAACATTTAGTGGATAAAGACCAAAGATTCCAAGTATCTCATGATGCATGGAATGATCAGGATAGTTCTACAGAACAACAGCTATGCAACACCCCTTATACCTTTCAAATGCCACAATGGACACTGATGTCATTAAAAAACAACCACCAAAAAAACCTTTGAAAAGTAACATCTGAGCCTAGAACTTAATTCCATTTTTAGTAAATGCTAGGCTTGTTTGCCTTGCTATAATTTTATAGACACTAAAAATTTCCAGTAATGTAACTGCATAAAGGAAAAATTATACTTTTTTGAGAATTTTACCAAGAGCTATTTACCACTTCAGAAATCGTAGTATCAACACCACTACTGGTATCTGACTCACCAATACAACACACCAGTATCTGCCTGTTCAAGTATCTGTCACATTCTCAATGACGCTAGAGTTGGGGTGCAAACACCTGACTATTCATTAAGGCTTCTTGAAGAATGATGCCTAAGCATTTATATCTAGAACATATATTTTAGTATAAATAAACTCTTCTTTATATTACATTTAGGGCATTATATTGACTCGAAATTATCTGTATAGGAAGGTATATTATGCATCAATTTCACTACAGGAAAATAAAGAAGGATTATGACTTTTTTTTTATTTATATGAATGGGGCATTGGTAAGAAAAGTTTGAAAATCATTGTTCTGTTAGCTCCCTACTCGCACTCTCTTTCCAACTGGTTGTCAGCTAAATAAAACAGAAAGCTAAGCACACTGCAATTTCACTAAAAACAGGGAAAATGCAAGGATTATTTCCTTTCAGTAAAACTGTGTGGCCATTGCTGTATTATCAAAGTTGCTATCTCAGGTAGTTCCTATATTCCTGTGAATGAACGAATGAAATCCTCTGGACAAGACGGGTTAACATTTGGAAAAATAAATTATAAAAACAAATTCACAAGATTATTTTAAGTAGCATCCATAAGTTGATAAACTGAAACATCACTACTAAAAATAGAAACATGTCAGTTTTCCAAATGTTATATTGTTTTAAAGAGAATGCTTATTTGTGATAGTCTGAGTACGATATGGCTCATAATATTCTTTCACTTGAGCACTAATCCAAAGACAATGAATTTGTGCTAAATTTGTAGTTAAAATTTCAACACTGTACATGTCTGAACAGCATATCCTACTTTGAAATAATCTCAAAATCATTTTTCCTTTATAGTCAGTTTTTTTTATGGCAGCATCTTTGGAGTAGAGGAAAGAGCATTGGACTTGGAGTCAGAAGACTTGGGTCTGAGTCCCGACTCTGCCACTCGTTAGCCAGGTGGCATTGGAAGAGTCATTTAGCCTCTCTGGGCCCCCATTTTTTTCTCCAATTGTAAAATGGGCATAACTAACCTACAGAACTGCTGAGTTGGAGACAACAGATGGAAAAGTACTTTGTAAACTGTAAAGTGCTATGCAAATTTAAGAAATCATCAGATCTTATTACACTTTAAAGTAGCAAACCATCTCCTATGGGAATACAGTTTCCAAAAATCTAGCTTATAACTACTGTTTAAAATGTAACCATTCTTACCTTCGAAGTTCCATTGCTCGCCGCAGCCTTTCAAAACGCACTAAATGTTCTCTCAATCTTTGTTCCTTCATCTTTTCAAAAGGCAAGATCTCTTTCCTTCTATAGTCTTTGTCCCTTTTTTTATCTAGACTAGCTCTCTCCTTTTCCTTGCTTCTTCCATGAATCTATGGGAAAAAAAATTATAAGAGGGAGTGGAAAGGTTAAAATAATTCGGGGTTTTATTTGGTTAGCCACTTAGGAAGCTCAAATGACTAACAGCATTTCCTTTGTGCGCATTTTCTAGCATGGCAGTATGCAAAGTGTCTACAGAGGCACAGAATTATGTTCTTTTGGAGACAGGTGAAACAGTATACAACATGCCTCCTGGGGACTTACTTTCTCATATCTTCCTCTTCTTGATGGCCTACAATGATCTCCTTTAGTTTGATCTAATATTACCATATGTCCTGGACTCTTTGAACCTAAAAAGAAAAAACGTTAGATAAACAAAAGTCTAAAAAAAATTAATTAATAATATATATAAAAATGCTCAATCTCAAGATAGCCAGATATTCACAAACTGATACATGTAAATAAATAAATAAATAAAAACCTACTGATTCTATGAGAATTTAAACTCAGTTTGTCAACTAGTTTGGTATGTTAACATTAATATGTTCAGTGATATCAAAAGTTCCTAACTCAATACTATTAATCAAGAACCCATTTTAAGTCAACCAGATTTAGAGACTTAGCTGGAAGAACACCAATGTTTCACAGGAGTAAAAAAGAAGACCGTTTTACTTAGTGCTCCTTTTCTACCACAGTAATGTCTAACAAGAAAATTTAAATATTTATCTGATCAAAACCTCAAGTTTTCCCTTCCACTGTAAAAATTAAGACAGAGAACATACGAGAAAGGGACTGAGAAGACAGACATAGAGCAAGCATACTTATTCGCTTCTTCTCTTCACTTTTCTTAATCGATTCCGAGGTTGGGCCACTTGCTCCGTTATCGTTCTTCTCATCTTTACTTTCTACTTTCTTAGTGTCCTTGCTTTCTTTTTTCTCAGACTTCTCAGATGATCTTTTTTCTTCTTTTTTGACAGACGCTTGTGTCCTACCGCATCATTCCAAAAAAGACAGCAGAATAAGAACTACTATATTAATGTACCAAAAAAGTCCATCTACTCATAAAAAAAAAATCCTTACTTGCTATTTCTGTCACTCATATTTTTTTTATCTCCAGAACTTCTTGAACTACTCTTTTCATCATTTTCTTTCTTCATTTCTTTCTTAGAAGGATCACCTTTTACCTGAAAGTTTTAAATCAGAAAAAAAAATACCTGAGTTTTAAAGTCACAATTTTATGATTCTAAGTGAGTTGATGACAGAAAATTTGGAATAGAGAATTATAACTTAAAAAAAGTAAAAAAAATATAAAAATGTATACACTTTTCAAAAACATTCCTATTTCTCTTTCTGCCAATGCTGAAGATCTTTAAGTTGAGAATTACTATGCATCAATGTAATCTCCCTTTGATAAACCGATCGGTGAGCTTACTTTTTCAACAGAAATCAGCTGTCCGTGCAGCTCAGTACGATGCAGATGTGCAATACACCTGGACACTTCTGTGCTTGAAGACATAGTTACAATGCCATAGCACTTCGCCCCAGGACTTCGAGCATTTGTAACTACCTTTGCACTTAGAACCTACAAAATGAGATGATACTTTAAAAAGTCTTACAACTTCACAATGACACATATTTATAAGTAGACCAAGCTTCAGAACTGAAGACTATTCACTTTAAAGGATACAGTCAGGATATATTAATTCAGGATAAAGAATAAAGTTAAAACATATATTCTTTGGTTTCTTCTTGTGATCACATCTACTTTTCCATAAATATTTAGTAAAACTTCAAGAGAACTTAAAGTGTCAAAAAAGCAATTTAACCTATCTTTTCTTTTTAGTTACATATATAGCCCAAATATCAATTGATCACATCAATGAAGTAATGGTACAGTTAAAGAGAGCAAGAAACTGGATTTAGAACAATATTTTCCTATCATTGGCCCAACCTGAATCACTTAGAGAAAAAATTAAAGATAATTTTCCAGATACTAGTGAGTGTTAACATTTTCCTACACTTCAAAAATTAGAAGAGAAACCAGTCATATGTTCTAAAGCTCACTTAAAAATAACCCTAAAACTTTAAAGACAATCTTCTCCATCTATATGCTTTCAAAATCTGCATCAATATAAAAATGACCAATGCCTTCAATTATGTAAGATTGATATTAAGAGGGAGAAGCAAAGCAAGGATGGAAGTATGAGGAGAAAAGTGACAGATAACAATCCAGCGCTGAATAAAGAGGAATAAAGACATAATGCCAGGAAGAGGTAAACAGGGAATATAAATTCCACAGTGGGGGCAGCTAGAAACCACGGGTTTTCATCTTAACCCTGCGAAATGTTTATTTGCCCCAAAGTTTACAAGTCCAAAACCTTGTTATTAAGTGGATGGAATCTTTAATATTAAGTTTAATAAATGTCAACATTAAAATATTGTTTTCACTTCTCTAATACTGAAAACAGAACAAGAACACATCATGAGTGATCACAGGACTAAATTCACAATGTTCTGTATCTGTGTTCTCTACCTGACATCTACAACAACTTGCTTTACACTCAGGTAACTCTCTTAGTTAAGCAGATAAAAACCTCCTAATAATCAACAATTTTTATTATTGTTTCATAGATTTTTGTAAGATTGATTAATGACTTATCAATATTGGTCATTAGTTTTATGCCTATTATATTTAAAGCCTTTCATGTGCATACAAAGTACAATGTACATGGTCCTTGCCCTCAAAGAGCTTACACAGGAGTACGTTAAATTTTACATACATGAAAAACTTAACAGAAAGCAGTGAATGCCCCAAAAGATACCGACGAATCACAGTTAAATGCAATAACTATTAATTTAGTGTTCTTTGACTACCACTTCCCTTCCTTTAGGTGTCTCCTTGAATACCAGAGAAAATTTTCCTCACGAATCAAGCATAGCAGAGCCTCTCTTCTCTCTTAAAAATCTGCATTCTTCCCTCACAGTACTTATGACATTTTTGATTAAAAATATATTGATATGTCCATCTACATATATATATATGCACACATTTTTCTTTTACCAGTTTTACATTTTTTTTTCTCTAACACTGGACTAGGGACACATTAACAAGGGACACATTAGTTTTTCCCCTGGTTATGATATCCTACTGCCTAATGGTAGACATTTATTTTCAAGATGATGAAATCAGCCTCAGCAATGTGCCAGACCTCATGCCAGGTGCTAAAAAAAAATCATGGTAAATAAAGCTCAGTTTCCTGTTGTAAGTGGGTTCAAGATTTAGAATACAAAGGTCCCTACGGCTCAAAGTAAAACTGAATGATGAAACATCATTTAATCCCTAAATCAATTCTATCATTACCACAGAAGTCAGTAATTATGCCTCGAACACTCCTAAGTCATACTAGAAATTAGAAAATGTTTATGAAACACCATTTCAAGTACAATCTGTTTCAAATGCAGACACTAGAAATATAGATAAAAAACGGAAAAAAGAATGTACCTTTCCATACTTGCCAAAGAGGTTCTTCAAGTCAGCAGCTTTGGTATTAGAAGAAAGTCCACTAACCCAGATATTTTTAGTTGAGCTTCCACTGCTACCACTAGTACTACTTGTACTTCCTAGGATAGATTTAATATCAGACATTTAAGTATCTTAATCAGAAATTTCTTTTTTTTTTTTTTCAAAATTATAAGGGACATAGCCCTTCAAAACTATAAAATACTTTCATTTAATTTTCATAGCATAACTTTATGGTATCAAAGTCCTTTGAATCTGTTATTAAAATCAAATATAACAGATAACATAACTAGTAAAGAAACAAATTTAACTATCTGGACACCTCCTATTCCATGAATTTAAAGCCAAAGTGGGTAAAAATATCAATTGCAAGTCTTAGATTTTTATTGTTGTTCTAGGAGTTTATAATTACTAAATACACACAACTAGGAAGCAGTCCTCCAAGAATGAACAGACTGCTTAATTGCCACATCTATTGTGGGATTTGCATCCTAAGAACTGGAGAAGAGGGAAAAGTTAGAGCAAGGAAAAAACTAGTGTCAAGAATTATGAACAAAGTGTTCTCAAGGATTTAAATTAAGTACAAAGACTAACCACCTAGTTCACCTTCATTCTCTATTAGAAAAAAAATCAGAGAAAATGGGAATTATATGCAGCTGGAGTATTCTTGTTTCAATAAGAAACAATCTTCTAAAATAAGATCACCACAAGCTTAACAACAGAGATCTCATAGTCATGTAGAACACAAGTAAATGTATATATGAGTCACTTTTGTACCATTTCAATGCATACATTAAGGCTTCATACAATTAAAGACCCATCTCTTAGGACACAGGCCTAGTCAATCCACCCTTTAGTGCTTTTCCTCAGTTGTGCCATGGTAAAAGGGAAATTTTCATTTATTTCCACTTTTAGAGAAACAGTGTATATAAGCTATTAAAGGAACCAAATTCCATAATCTCATGTTACTGCACATAGAAAACTGTAACATTTTCATTGCTTTTAAAAGAATGAAATGACATAAATGTTAAAACTCTTCTCATAGACTTAGGGGGAAAGGAGATCACATGCACTCAAATATTTTAAGTATTAATGGCTGATCATTTTCTGTTCTTAAGAAGAGCATTCATCAGAGGGTTTTACTTTATGCAGTGTTAACGAGAAGTTTGTGTATCTGTTTGATGTTACCAGTAACATTAGGGTCCAGGTACTTTACTAATTACAGAAAAGATACATTTTAGTAATAGGGGGAAAAGTACTATTTTACAAAGAACACTAAGCTTCTTAAAGGATACCATACAGAAAGCAATCAAGTATTGTACACCTTTACACTTAGAAGAGTTGAAAATTAAATGACTTTCCTATAGAAGACAACCATTAACCCAAAATAAGTCCAACTAGGAAGCAAATTCTGAAGAATTAAAATAAAATAAAATGTTTTGGCCATGTTAACAAAAGTTTGCCTTAATATAAAGCATGATTTGTTTTTAAAAGTGATTTATAGCATATTTCCTACTAGATAAAACAGGGAAAGAGTTGTATACAAATCACTGCAACTTAAGATTAAAACACTTCTGAAAATTATAATGTAAGCAAATGAAATAGCAATCAATATTCAGTACAGTTGCTTAGAGCACAATACATAAGTCTTTCCTATCAAATTGGTTTTTAACATATTCAGATCAGCTTACACACTAGGTAAAGAACAATGCTTCAATCAGAGTTTGCTGTAAACTAACTCCATGGTTACACAAAGACCAAACAATGTTTTTAGTCTATCAATAAAATTTTTAGGGACTAAATGTCAAAGGAAACACCAGGCAACTATTACTTTTTAATGAAAATGCGCTGTTACCATTAAAATAAATAGGGGGAAAAATCCATTACCTTTGTCATCTTTAGATGATGTCTTGCTGTCTTTAGATTCCTTGGAGGAGCTAAAGAAGCAAATCACCAGAAGAAAATTGAAAACAAAAAACAAAACAAAACAAATAGAACAGCTTGACATTGACTATTATTTAAAACTAGTCACACAAATTAACAATTCCAAAGGCCTAGATTAGGTTATTTGAATAAGTGATTCCCTCAGGATTCTTGCACTGATTTTCCCCAAGATGCCTGAAGATCTAGATTTTCTGACAATTTTATTCAGTGGATATATGGCCATCTTCTCCAGATTTCAGGACTGGGACTTGACTTCATTTTGTGTTCTTAGAACTGATAGTTGTTCATTAACCATCATCACAAGGATTTTTAAAAATAAAACACAAAAAAATTGTCAATTTGAAAAAAAAAAAAAAAACAAAAAACAAAAAACAACCAAAAAACCAAATATATGCTGACAATTCGACAATGCAATCAGTAGGACACACTGCATATTATGAAGATCTTGATATTTTTTTAAAAGTAACTTATGACGATCAAAAATATTATAGGCAGGATCATAAGACACTAATTACTGTACATGGTCTTGAAGCCACCCCCTTAATGTAGAGTGATCTTATTGAATGCTGGAATTCAGTATCGTAAAGAACTGACATAGAAAAACAAACCTCTTTGCTTGACCAGAGGCCCCAGTAGACGAGGGCCCTTTCTTCAAAGTATCCTTTTCTTTGTCTCCAGATTCTGCTTTCTTAGAACTTTCTCTGGCTTCCTTCTCGACAGGATCACCCTTCACGCAGTCTTCCTTCTTACCATCTTTATGGTTCGCATTCATCTCATAATCCTTGCTTTCCTTCTCCGGGCTCTGTGCAATGGCGTCCTGCCCATCTTTTGGCTTACTTGCTTCGGAATCTGTAATTTTCACATTTTTACCTGTTTCTAGGAGGTCATCACCATCAAAATCCAGAGTGATGGCATCTTCAGCCTGGATTGTGACCGAGATGTTGTCATCCTCAGCTTCTTTCACAGTCGCATTAGCTTCCATCTCTTCATGAGCTGTGTGATCAGCCTCAGCTAGGTTCCCTTCTGAAGGAAGAGGTTTAGATACTTCTTGTGTACCATCACCAGAACCTGCTATATCTAAGAGGATTTAACAGGAATAAATACGGCAAAACAAGAAGTTTAAACAATTTCATATTCATAAGCTAGAATAGGACCTAGAAAATATAAAGCCAGTTATTAGCACTGATGGAAGGTTAGAGGAAAAAAAACACAAGGGTATTAACTAACATAAACAATCCTTTACCCAGGATCACTTATTCTTCATGGAAAAAATGATCTCTATATACAAACACCAAACAACAACAGTGAGAGCGAGAAAATGGTTCCATCCTGAAGATACCAGTTCTTCGTTTCTGGTTATAATGGCAATAGAAGAGATTTTTTTCCTCCAAGGAATAGTGACAAGCATGCAGATTTGTTATTCAACGTTCTGATCATCTTGGTTTGACCCTTGTGACCTTCAGAACTCTCACTGTGACTTCTTGAAAGGCCACAGTCTGAAGATAGCAGTCTTCGAAGTAGTTCAGGGCCCCATCTTTTTCACTCTTCAATTCCTGGGTAGTCCAGAATCGTAGGGAATACTGCTATGGGAGGCTCCAAAGATGCTCCTGCTCCGTAACATTCAGGAACTTGGTTTTTCCAGTCTTCATCCTGTCCAGTTAGTCCGCAATTCCCATTTTCACAGATGTCTTGCATTCCCCCAAAATGGAAAGGCTTCGGGCATGTGAGATTTTCAGTCAGAAGCTTTACTTCATCATTGCTTCTAGGTTTCTCATTCTGCCTTGCTTAGAACCCTACTCCATGTCCTTTCTAGTCCAAAGTAGGATCCTTTAACTTCTGTCCAACAACTCTTCCAAAACCTCACAATGACCACAGGCATTACTAGTGTTGTGCCTGTAACTGTATTGGATGAGACAGTTCTAAACTGCTCAAACTGTCAGAAGACTATGAAAGTTTCTCTAAGCAGCAAAAAAGTCAGTTTCCCGGTCATTCATCATTTTTAGGACCAGTTGCAAAATTCATTATGAGTTATGTACTCAGACTCTGTAAGCACGTATGAGTTACTGCAGTGTCAGTCTTAAAGATGTACTCAACTTACCGTATGTTGGAAGTTATTTTAAAGATAAAATTAAATGTGTTAAGTTAAAAAATGGCATTGTACACTACAGTAACTGATATGTACTATCAAATTAGAATATATTTTAAGTGTTCAAAAAAATTAAAACCAATCATAATTAAATCAATGTTAACAATTCACTAGTTGATAAATTTGAAAATAAACTCATTTCAAAAATAAAATTTCAAATAAGGAATGCTGTATTTCCACATAATTTAGTTTTTTTCTAAATGTCTAATTTTTAAGCTCTACTTAGCATCAAACATACCTTTCTCATTTTCTTCTTCCTCACCATCCTGAAATTCAAAGAATAATCAAATGTAAAAAAAAAAAAGTAACATAAAATCAGATTTTAGTAGTAGTGCAAAATCAGTTACGTTAAATTGATGGATAATTTACTAATATTAATGAAGGATGCTTGTCACTAACAAATAAATAGGATATTCCAATAAAAACCAGAGTCCATTTACAGCACATGTCTAGTATATGCAATTCTAGGAGAAACAGGCAAACTGTCAATTAGATCAACAAACTAGCCTATTTAGTTTTACTCAAAACGAGGTTATAGAACCCAAACCTAACTCATCTCAAAGAACTGCCAATGAAAGGACTGACCTAATTACTCTGAATGCACAATAAACAAAACAACCAAGTGACTACATCCTTTTTAAGCATCTCAGACATGAGAAAGCCGACTAGTTGTCACTTTCAAATCATTCATTATTTTTATCTGTTTAAAATGAATTAAAAGCTATCACACATATGTGGGTGGCTAGCCAATTAAAAATGATATTTTTGTTATAGTTATAAAAGAAATAATTCATTCCTTTTTCAAAACAGTGTTTTAATTTTAAAATATCTGCTATTGTCACTTAATTGAAAATTAAGCATGTGTGAATTTGAAAACAGCAATGTCACAAAGTTTCTTTACCAAGCAAACCCTGCAAAAATCACTAAGTAATCACACCAAGATAGAAACATTTTCCCAAATCATAAAGGACAAGTAATATGCATTATAATCTAAAGCAGAAAAAAAACTTTAAGGAATATTTTAACTTTTAGTATAATTTTAAGTAGATTGATTTAAGTTAGGTGGTATGAAACCTGGTGTGACATTACCAAATAAGCCTTAGAGCAGTGATTCTCAAACATAAGCATGTACCAGAGTCCCCTGGAAGGCTCAGTTAAAACAGATTACTGGGGATCAGCCACAGTGTGTCTAGTTCAGAATGTCTGGAGTGAGCCCTGAGAGTGTATACCTCTACCAAGTTTCCAGGTCATGCTCACGCTGCTGGTCCAGAGAGGACACTTTGAAAACTACTGTCTTAGAGTGCCAGCTGAGCAGTCAAAGAAGACTTAAAGCAAAATTGAAAGAGAAATGAAACTTTAAATGGCAGTTTAAACACTTTAGACTCATGTAACACGATTTTAGATTCATATAAAATCATGTATTCCATAAAAATGTCAAATATTTTACTACATGCTCAAAGTTAGGTATGGATAACAATCATATTTGTAAAAAATAATCTTAAATGTTTTGACCCTGTTAACATTAAGTATCCCAAAAAGGGAATGACTCATAATTTTAGTCACTAAAACAACATGAAGAAAAGTACACTTGAATTCTAAGCCACAAGCTTAAGATAGTAAAACAGCCTAGAAAAAGTTAATCACTGACTCATAGCAATGTCAATCAAATTATTCTACAAGTCTGCTAATTTATACTGTAAAGAATTTTGTTGTATGGAATTTACTTTTAATCATTATACCCCTAACCTAGTGTCTGGAAAGGAAAGAAAAGGGGCCTTGCTTGGATGGAGTGGTAAGGTGGCAACAGCACGAGAGGATGAGTCATGTGCCAATTATGGATCAATCTTTTATTCTAAAATTTTAATTCAGTAATTTACTTTGAAGGGAAAAGTAAGCTGGGACACCTTAGCTTATAGTTAAAAGTAGAACAAATGAATTTGAAGAATGCAGCCTAACTTTCCTTTATCTACCTGTGATGCCAACGAAACATCACTTTCCAGTGATTCTTTTAGAGTTACAACCTTGATAAGTTCAAGCAAAGATGTCCAAATTATTTGCTATTTTTATGAGTATACTTACGAGTATCAGGTAAAAAACATTTTTTTGTTACTGTCCCTGCTTATTAAAAATGTTGTTACTAGTTGCCAAATTAACTGCTAGGATTCTCCTTACTTTGTGGATGAATTTTTAGACATTTTTCTTAATAATTCAACATGTCTTCTGAGGGCTCTCATAACCTAAGTTTCTCTGCATAATGATTACACTGGCCTAATTACATATACTTATATGCCCTAGGAAAAAAGGACTTGACCCAGCTTCTAGTAAACAAAACTGATTACAATGAGGTGAAGCATAAAAACAACTAAGGCTATGGCAGGCCGTTAGCCTACTAGTTAAGATACTGGTTAACAGGTCTGCATCCCATAAGGAAGTGCCTGGGTGGATCTCCGACTCCAGTTTTCAGCTAATGCAGATCCTGGGGAGGCACCAGCAGTGACTCAGGTAATCAGGTTCCTGTTACCCATGTGGAAGACCTGGATTGAATTCCCAGCTCCCCTTGGCTATTTCGGCCATATGGGGAGCAAACCAGCAGACAAGAGTTCACTGTTTCTCTGCCTCTCAAATAAACAATAAATGATGGTTATAGGAAAGATGAACCACATTTAAGTGCATATTTGTACAGTAAACATAGTACTAATAAGGAAGACTAAAAAAAGTCCTAAATAAGCCCCCAAAATCATTCCAATAAGCAAACTAAGCAGGAAATACAAAGACAACAACAAATTTTTTGTCTAAATATATTATGTACAGACACGATACGCAACTTATTTGAAAATTCCTACCCACTGAAAAAGATTTTTACTAGAATGAATAATATAGTAAATAAGTAAATATTGTGAAGCAATAACTTATTAAATGTAAACCACACTTTACATTTACTGTAAAGCATCCTTTTAAGGTCACCACTTGAGTTTATCTAGGAAAAATATTTGACATGAAAATAAAACAATTGCTCTTTGGGACAAACACTCATGTTCTCTGCAGTGGAATGTACAACCCTTAGTCAAACGCTAAAAACTCTTTTAAGTTCTTCTATTTTCATTTCATCTTAGGGACATCAGTGACTGCCAAGATACAGATAAACCTGGGACTAATTTTCAATCAACCAAGTGTTTATTACAAACTTGCAATATATGTACATGTGTGGATTACATAAAAGACCTCCTTTCCTCTGACTGTGGTGTGCATGATGTGTTCAGCAGGTGTCCTGGGGGAGGTATTTAGCCCAGAGGTTCAGACACCCATAGTCCCACAGCAGAGTGCCTACGTTCAATTCCCAGCTCGGGATCCTGACTCCAGCTTCTTCTAATGGGAATCCAGAGAAGTAACAGCAGTGGTTCAAATGATTGGGTTTCTGCCACCCACACGGCCGACCTAAACTGACCTCCCAGATCCTGGCTTCAGTCTGGCCAGGTCCTGGCCACTGTAGGCATTTGCAGAGGGAACCAGTGATACAGAATTCTCCCTCTCTTTCTCTGCCTCTTAAACTAAAAAAGTTTTAATAGATAAGACTTTCAAAATAAGCTTAAATCACAAACCATCTGCTATCTGACAATATAAATGACATGGGGAATTAAAAAAAATTCTTAACACATAATAAGCACAACAAATATTTTTTAATATTTTAAAATTTTAAAATTTCATTATTTCCATCTACTTTAAAGGCAGAGTGACAGAGATTTCCCATTTACTGGTTCACTCCCCAGATGCCTGCACACATTCATTAGCAGGAAGCTGGATAGGAAGCAGAGGAGCCAGGACTCAAATTGGCACTCTGGTATGGTTTAACCTGCTATGCCACAATGCCCACCTCAGCACTCAATAAATATTTGTCAAATGTATTTCCTGAATAAATTTAGTGTTAAGACACTGCTATCTTTAGCTAAAGACTGAAAGAAGTGCTCATTTTTATATATATGAAGGAGTTAACATAAGTACAAAAGAACTTACAAAACATTTGCTAGGGTGATTTTTTGTGGGTGTGAAAATAATACTACAGTAGGCATCATAATTCCTATGTGTTTATCCTGTCCTTACCACGGAAACAGTTCTACTCTTTGGTATGTCATCTATCTAGATGAATTTTACCTATGTAACAGAGATCACATGTGATCTGTATAAGATATATCAGGGATTAAAATAACAGGTACAAAAAGTCCTCTGTAATGAGTAAAGCACTCCAGAGGAGACAGGAATTAGAGAAAGCTTTATGGAGAAGACAGTGGTAAATTTTGGCTTTCATAGGTATATACATTTTATATGACAAAAAAAAGAAGACACCCAGGTTAACGAAATGTTAGACACAAAGGAAAGTAGAATATAAACGTCACAACAAGAGAAGATTGAAGAGGTTCTTGAGACTAGAAGGAACTTCTAAGAATCAAAGCATTAGTAGAAAAATTTGAAGAAAAACTTTCATAAAATACTTAACTGCCAACCTCAAGCTAGTAAAACAACACTACAAATAATCATTAATTACATATATACCATGTGCCATGATCTGTAGGAATTATAATGTTCACTGTAATTGGCTAAGAGAATCTGTCCCAAATCATCATATTGTGATTAACTTAAAGAAACAGAACATGGACTAAATTCTATGTAGTATAGCAAACTACCTAGAAGCTAATGCCTAAAAATTCAAGCTTCAAGTAAAAGCCTGAGCGCTTGTTTTTTTTTTTTTTTTTTTAATAAGATTTACTTACTTACTTATTTATTTATTTTGAAAGGCAGAGTTGGGGTGGAGGAGACAGAGAAAGGGAAAAACAGAAAGAGATTTTCCATTCACTGATTCACTCCCCAAATGATCACGAAGCCAGGACATCTAGGTATCCCACATGGGTGGCAGGGGACCTAAGCACTTGGGCCATATCCCACTGCCTTCCCAGGGTCACTAGCATAGCGCTGGATCAGAAGCAGGGCAGCCAGGACTCAAACCAGTGCTGATACAGGATGCTGGCATTGCAGGTGGGGCTCAGTTCACCACACCACAAAGCTCGGCCCCCATGCAAATATTTTAATTAGATGATTTTTAAAACTTTTTGTCTGCAAATAATCACAGACTCAAGAACCTGCTGATTTTATCATTAAAAGCCATACCTAAATGTTGAAAATAAACGTAAACAAATCAACCTGAATATGTATTAGTTGGTGATATAATCATACAGAGCACAACTAATCTCTTCATCCCTTGAGGCATACATTCTTATGACAAACATAACTGAGAAAAAATATTTTCAGTAATCATATTGGTGCTGGTATTGGTAGTGAGATAAGGAAATGATTAAGATAAGGGAAATGATTAACTTGAAAAAGTACCCAAATGAACCAAAAATCAATTTTATCTTAAAAGTCAAAACAAAGAACAAAACATTCCAATATATTCTCTAGAAGTATACATTAAAAAGACCTAGAAACCACAAATAATTCAGTAACAGTGAACACGCCTACCACCCAGATTGACGTCCTGAAGTCCCATTTACCACTAAAAGGAAAAAACAGCTAATTATATAGGTCTGCAGCAGGACATGGAACATCTTTACAGAGCAGAAAGCAAAGACTCAAAGACCACTGGGGTCATGTCAAAAGGACTTAGAGTCAACTTGAAGAGGCTTTCTCACTAGCCATATATGGGACAATTTAATCATTAACAAGGATAATAGCAATGAACCAAAATACATTAAATAGTCAAATCCATGAGTTCAGAATGAATCTAAGGGAAAGGAAAAATTTTAAACTCACTGGTTACTTTTAGAGATGCTAGAGAACCAGCTCATTATTCTAAAAATTGGCAACTAAAATTAAAGAATCAAACATACATCCTAGCTTTCCTCTGTAAGTGGGAAAACAAATAGTAGATGAAGAATTTCTCTTTCTAGAAATATTCCAGCTAATAAAGAAGAAATGATGTGATTAGAATGTCAAAATTTTGCAGCTCCTAATGGGGTAAAGCTCATCAATGACTAGAATCAACACAAAACTATTCAACCAGATATTATGAGCATTCAAATGAAGAATACAATCCTACCTAAAAAGTATTATGTGTTATGATGGGGGGATCTGATATCTTAATCTGACACTAAGCCCCTTGATCCTGTAACCGACTTACCAATTTACAGAAAGTAACAGTATATAAGTGAATCTGTGGAATGGCACCACAGGAAAATCTAGACTTTAGAAGCAAAATCTAGACTTTAGAAGCTCTACAGCAGGAGTTGGCAAACAATACCAAATGCCCATTTTTGTAAATATTTGTAGAAACATAGCCATGCCCATTCATTTACATATTGTCTACAGCTGCTTTCACACTACAGAAGAAGAGCTGAATAGCTGTGACATAGCAAAAACAAAGATAACTCTTTAAAAAACACTGCAAACCCTGCTCTATAAACAACTCAATTCTTTCAAGAATTAAAATTGTGTGTGTATGTGTGTGTGTTGGGGGGGAGGTTGAGGAGCTAATAAACACTTTAATCAGTCACAATATGTAGATCTTATTTCTATCTGGATTCAAACAATACCTACAAAGGGAAAAATCAGCAGACAGTAGAACATTTAAACACTGACTTAATGATGTTAATAGTTCTCTTTTAGTGGCACATACTGAAATTTTCCAAGTAAAACACAGATGGATTGATTCAAAATAATGCAGAAAAGGAAAGAGACAGAGGTATAGGGGAAATAAGACTGGTTATGAGTTGATAATATCAGAAACTGGGTGATGGCACTACTATATTCAGAGTAACATACTCTGTAAGCCTGTTTAAAATCATTAACGCATGGTGAAACCGAAGTATCGTTTATAGATTTCTAGATGTTCCACCATACATTATTTAGAAAGAGAAAAAGGTCACTTTACTTAAAGGAAATTTCTCTGAAATTTTAAATTCCCTGTCCTCTGAAGAGAAATAAATATTCTTTCACTATCAGGAAGAAATACAAGCAAGGCTATCTTTAGCCCCCAAAATGTATGAAAATGAGAAAATGCACCCATTCATTTCTTAAGATGCTTTATTTCTATAGGTTAAGAAAAAGTTTGTAATAAATAACCTATTATTGGGGCCAGCACTGTGGCGTAGAAGGTTAAGCCTCCATCTGCGACACTGGCATCCCATATGGGGGCTGGTCAAGACTCAGCTGCTCCACTTCTGATCCAGCTCCTTGCTAATGCACCTGGAAAGCAGCAGAAGATGGCCCAACTCCTAGGGCCTCTGTACCTACATGGGAGACCCAGAGGAAGTTCTGGGCTCCTGGCTTTGGCCTGGCCCAGTCCTGGCCACTGAGTCCATTTGGGGAGTAAACCCGCAGATGACGATCTCTCTCTCTTTCTTTTTATTCTCCTCCTTTCTCTGTAACTCTGCCTTTCAAATAAATAAAAAATAAATAAATCTTTAAAAATAAATAGATACCTAAATAATCAATTTTGTAAATGAGAGATCCTTCAATCCAGTATTTCCACAACTCATAGCCTGCAAGAATATAGGAGTAGCCCTTGATCCAACTGAAAAAGCTAGTTGCCCAAGGATATGAAGAGTTCAATTCCAACTATCTGCAAATCAGTAATCTAGAAAGGTTATTTATTCAATTTAAGGGTCAATCTTCCTAATGTATTCTTTAGTACTAAGGAATGAATGAACTTAGGGATAGGATGTTGGACAGGCCTAATCGCTATCACAGTCCTAACATTTCCTTTCTGAATATTCTAAATGGCCAAAAACAAGTTTCTCCCCTTGCAATAAAAACTGAGTGCATTTCACAGGCAAGAGAGGCAAAGAAGGCATCACTGGGGCAACTCAGTCCATAAATAGGAGCCTCTCTAAAGGTTCCAGTGAGGAAGTAACAGACCTTAGACCATTATTCTGAAGCCCAGCAAACCAGGGAACCTCTCTTTCTATTGGAAAATGAGCCATTTAAAGGTTGTACATGAATAAGGGGTTCTTGAATATAGTTATGAAAAAAAGACAAAGCATATTTTTAAACTACAGAAACTGAGCATCTGACAATCATGTGTTAAGATATATACTATGAATATCACATATAACAAAACCAAATTTTATCATGAAGTACAGTTGTTTTCCATATGGACACAGTGAGTAAGTTTCTAGAACACAGAATTAAAGGATATTAATGTGTTTAAACTATTTGTTTTACACCAAAGTGACACAAAAAAATAAGGGAGAATGTAAACTTCTCATAAGATTGGTAACCAGAGTTATCTTTTACAGAAAGGGTAATTTTTAATTCTGAAAATGGCAGAAACCTCATAATAATTCCAAATATCTTTATAGCAACAATAATTTCAGCTATTTATTGGCAACAATAATTTCAACTATTTGCTAATAATTTTAAGTATTTTGTATACACCATACATATATAACCCAGTATTAAATTTAAGGCAATTTTATGAATTAAAAATTATGACATCAAAATAAGATTCCTTTTCCAAGCCCTTCCACCCACAATATCAGATTCATAGGACCAAATGAAAACTTACTTGGGCTGTTAGAAAGGTATCATCTTCACCTTCTTGAGCTTCAATTTCCTAAGTAAAAGGGTATACAATAGCTTTGCTTTACAAAGTATCTGGGTAAAATGAGAATGCTTTTATGTTTATACCTGATAACATCTGCCTTGTGGGCACAGTGTCTACAGCAGTGTAGGTACTAAATCAATGCTTAAGAATTTAAACTGTATGTTTTATGCCAACATAAAACATTAGTCATGTTAGTAGAGAATTAGAGGAATCTTCCCTGAGCCCCTCATTTATTAGGCTAGGTAGAAGGGGAAGTGTTTGAAGCATAAATACTAACAAGCACTGATTCCCTGAACAATGGTTTTCTTATGATGTAATAACCTCCTTCAAAGCAGGACAGCTTGCTTTTTAAAGAAAAATTTCAAAAACTATCTGCTTTAAAACTAACCTTTTTAAAAATCAAAAAATTTAAAAATTAAACTTTCATTCGTGTTTTCCCCACCCTTTGATAATAACCAAAGAAATGCAAATTAAAGTAGCTTTTTCATACCTTCTAAAGTAGCCTAGGGGAAAAGACAACCTCCCCACCAAGGAATGCTGCGAGGTCTGAGTGAAATTAATACACTCATTCAAAATAGGGTAGAACTTAAATGTCCAAAATTAAAGGAGTTGCTATCAGACAAATGGAAAGCAGTCTCATAAATTAGGTATAACACACAGATCATGAAGTCATTATGACATGTTATATGAAAATAGAATTTAGAATAAATCGCAGCTTCCAGTCTAACAACTGTGTAAAAATATACATGTATGTGAGGTAAGAAAAAATTTAAGATTTCCTTAGGTGGTAAGATTCTGAGTGATTTATAAGTAACTTTAAATATATACTTCAAAAATATCCTGAGATTTCCAAACTGAACCAGGAAAAAAACCTTTTTTTTTTTTAACTATTTAAAACTTAATTTTATGGGTGTCATGTGTTTAAAAAACTGGCTAAAAGGGCCGGCTCTGTGGCATAGCAGGTTAAGCCACCACCTGCAGTGCCGGCATCCTATATGGGTGCCAGTTCAAGTCCTGGCTGCTCCACTTCCAATCCAGCTCTCTGCTATGGCCTGGGAAAGTAGTAGAGGATGGCCTAAATCCTTGGGCCCTGCACCTGCATGGGAGACCCAGAAGAGGCTTCTGGCTCCTGGCTTCAGACTGGCACATCTCTGGCTGTTGTGGCTAACTGGGGAGTGAACCAGTGGATGGAAGACCTCTCTCTCTGCCTCTCCTTCTCTTTCTGTGTAACTCTGACTTTCAAGTAAATAAATAAATCTTAAAAAAAAAAAAAAAAAAAACTGGCTAAAGACCTGACTTTCGATGTCCTCTTTTTCTATATCTTCTATTGCTTCTGCCTCTATTAATTCATGAGCTCTCTTGTTCTCTTCTGTAGAAAGTAACTCCTTGGAATGGACATTTTCTTCTTCATTTTCACCAAATTCTTCAGAGTCCTTTAGTTCATCATTTCCATCTTGTTCATGTGCCTCTTGATTCTCCAATTCACAGTCCTTTTAATGGTAAGAAAATTTGGTACAACCAGAGGCAAAGTAGTATATAGGCTATCCATCAAACATTTTTTGGTAATTTACATCTCTGTGTCAAATTTGATCATATTTTGATATTATTCCCAAAGTCAAAGTTCAACCATTTCACCTTACATATTAACTGTGTCTTTAAAAAGAGGAGTCTAATACCAAGATCATTAAACCAAGAATTTTAGTATCTCTCACACTGAAATGCATACTAATTGAGATGTTCTGTGCACACTGTTAAGAGTGGCTTTAAAGTCAAGCTATTTAAATGTTTACCAAGCCACATTCTAGGAACTGTCCAGATGATATGCCTTCAAAGAAATAATTTGAGCCGGCGCCGTGGCTCAATAGGCTAATCCTCCACCTTGCGGCGCCGGCACACCGGGTTCTAGTCCCGGTCGGGGCGCCGGATTCTGTCCCGGTTGCCCCTCTTCCAGGCCAGCTCTCTGCTATGGCCAGGGAGTGCAGTGGAGGATGGCCCAGGTGCTTGGGCCCTGCACCCCATGGGAGACCAGGAAAAGCACCTGGATCCTGGCTCCTGCCATCGGATCAGCGCGGTGCGCCAGCTGCAGCGGCGGCCATTGGAGGGTGAACCAACGGCAAAGGAAGACCTTTCTCTCTCTGTCTCTCTCTCTCACTGTCCACTCTGCCTGTCAAAAATGTCGACATGGAAGACATAACAAAACAGAAAGAAGAAACAGGAATACTTTGATTGCTCCACGTGCCACAGTTTGATTTAACTGGAAGACCCTGGAAATCTTAGATGTCAAAACAAGGTTTATTTCTATTTCATAATAAGGAATGAATGTTCAACTGCTTTATCAACATCTGTTCTTGAAAAACATGCAACTAAGTAATTTACATGTATTTGTTTTGAAATATCTCACTGTGCTACAGGGGAACTTAAGTTGGAATCTGTCCTAACAAGGTCTGTGTACCCTAAAAGTTCATAGATACATAATTCTTCAGTGTTAACAAAGCAGCAATCTGCTTGGCTAGACAAAGGGCTAAAAGCAATAAGCATTGCCTTCCTCCGTTCCTATTCTTAAAGTAAAACCAACAAAAGATTTCTGGGTTAAAAGGGGAAAAGGGCAGGGGCAGGACTAACACAGCTGAATTGCAGTGAAGGAACAGAAATTTCTGTAGGGAGGCAGGCACAGAAGGAAAATGACTGTTTTGGAATGTGGAGTGCTTGAGGTAGTGGGACATCTCTGCTTTGACCAACCTCGTCAAAATATGAGTGGAAGTTGCAAATGGAATTAGGTGGTTGCATGATGGTAAAGGAAGTGCGAAAAAGAGCAAAGAAGCCTCTGAGGGAACTTCACTCGCCCTCAAGTGCCAATGTAATCATTCTCCTCACTTATCCACAGAGCAATTTCCATACTATTCAAACATTTAGGCAATAAGTGGTATTTACCCACCACTGTCATTTAATTCCAAAATTACTGATTCTGGGAGACAAAGAAAACATATTCACTGAATTCCAGTCCAATATATCACAAATGCTGATACTTCCAAAGTGGAAAAAGAAATATAAACCAAAGATATATGTAAGCAGGATTTTTAAAACCAGTTCCTTTGCTGTTCTAGACATTATCACAGGGTTCATTTGATAATAACACAAAGGCATATTTGAGCACAGGTAAGAGACAGTACTATTATTTTTCTGAATAGATCTGTCTCTTTATAACATTTCAAATGACTAACATTTTTATAAATGGAAAGAAAGTTAGACATTTGAAAATTAAAGGACTTTTTACTAAGTCCCAGTGTTTTTCCAGCTTCTGGGTAACTTTTGCTTAATCACACATTGACTAGTGAAGACAACTGAAGAAAGTAAGAACAGCAAAGGCACAAACTGATAGGAGAAAACAGGACAAGGGTAACAGAACACCCAAAGGGTCAAACAAAATCTGACTGATTCTAGACATGCAAATCATTAATTTGAATGGATTCTTAGAAAAATATTTCCTAAAACTATATGCTTTCAGGGTTGACTCCTTAACCAAACACTTCTTTCTCTCCAAGCCTTGCCTCCAAGTATGGGCTGTGTGCTGTGTTGTGGAAGATCCGTGTGTAGACTGCAGAGAGGGAAAAGTTAAGAGGTAGGAGAAAAGAGCAGCTGAGTGGACATGAGCTGACTTCATGGTGGGGCACACAGACACATCCAGAGACATAATGACAATACGGACTAACTGCACAGAAAAACCAAATATATGTGGGTATAAATGTATATTATTTTAAGAGGAGCTGTGTTCATTAAATAATTCCTGTAAATACCACAATACTTAAGACCTAACAATGAGTAAGTAGATCACTTTTCATTAAAGTGAAGACAAAACAAATAAAAACTTCAACTACCATTTAAAATAATGTTTCTATTTCTATTGTACATAGAATTGCCACAGACCCAATTAAAGTTACATACTTTTTCTGGCTGGTAAATTTTGAAGCACATTCCTTTTCAGCCAAAAAAAGACCTGGCTTAATTATCTTTAAAGGAGCAAAACAAATTTCTTAATTTGATTCTTAACAAGTAACAACACAATAGTAATTTTCTCTCTTCATTTTAAAGTCTACATTAATCTAAGTTTTGTATATTATGTACAAACTCCAAATGCAATAAACAGATTACAAATCACCAGTATCTTTCACAATGTTCTTTTGATCTCGAATTAACATATTAAATTGTCCTTTAACTATTCCTCTGGATTCTGTGCCTCAGATTTCTAAGCAAAGGCCTGTTTCACTTAACTAAATTAAAAGCAATTGTGTTTCTCAATTATGAGAGTTAATTAGATTGACAATATCACTAAATATATAGTTTACATACTTCAGTGTCTTGTTCAAATGAAATGCAGAAAATTCATCATGCAAAATGCTAATCTCAACATAAAGGTCTTAACCTGAATAATTAACATTTTACCTTGACAAAAGCATCATCTTCCACAGAAGCATCTCCACCCAACTCATCTGATTCCTGTTTTTTACCTGTGGAAGAAGGAAAATGGGTTAACAATCAATATTTTATTTCTTTAAAAGCAAAATAACATTCAGTTTACCCTGCAGTATCTCTTCACTCCCAAATCCACTAATGCCAACTGCTAATCAACCACCTGGACTTGGCTGTCCCAAACAACGTCAACAACAAAACCTCACGAACAATGGCATACTGTTTGTGTGGAAATATACTGTGCAAATAATCCTACATATCAACCCATCATCTTAACTGACTTGACAAATATGCTACATTTTCTTTAAACCACTTGAAGTCTCTTTCTTCAATTGTCTCAGGAGCAGCAGTACCTTTCAATGGCATTCTACTAACCATAAACATATATACACATAACCAGTCACCTAATAGCTGGATTCAAGACTTATATCCCCACAAAGCCTTTGCTAAGTTCTCCACAACAAGCTTTCTCTTAAATAACAATTCTCATACTTTTAATTTGCATCTTACAATACAATTCATCACTTAATTATGCATTGCCTTGTACTTTGTTCAAGTACATCCTGCCTCCCCATGGAGATAAGAAATTCCTGAAGTACAGCGACTACTTCTATAGTAGTCTTTTATTTGTCCAAAAACCTAAGTATAAATAGCACTGGTCACTTAACATGATGACTGATTTAAAGTAAGCAGAAATTGCTGTGGAGTGGAAGCTGCTAATAGCTTCCAGACAGCCTAGAGACTTTCTCTGCCCATCTCATCTTGAACACTTTACAAATTGGTGGCTGGAACTTTAAAAATGTTTTCCACATTAAAAAAAAAAAAAAAAAAAGCTTTCCACACGGCCAGTGCTAAAAATTTATTATATTTTCAGTCTAGTTCACAAAAACCTACTTTAAAATCCATAATGTATCAGAAGACTGTAAAACACAGGTGCTAGAACGTTTGTACTTAAATGTTTTTCATTTCTTTTGAAATGTGAACAGAGGCCAACTTATGAGCTTTTCTCTGGCCCTGCAGCAGGCCCTGGCAGTGTGACCACTGAGCTCAAGCCTGGGGTGGAGGTGGGGAGGATCAGCTGCAGGGTACCTGAAGAAGGCTACCGTGCTTCTCTCTCCCCGGTCTCCTCCCCAGCCCCTGTCTGTTTTAACTACTCCCAATGTGAAATCCTTCCCATGAATAAGAGATAAAAGTGCAGCAAGACACGGGTCTGTGTAGGGACGTGAAAACACGGTGGACATTTTCCTTTTACCCTGGAAGTACATGAAGGCTCAAGAGAATCAAATGAGTGATGAAGCGCAGCACATATCATGGTATGAATTTCCTACTTAAAATATTGGTGTTTTTATTTTAGGGAAAACACAAGTTTTGGTTTACTATGGTCTCTTAGATAAAAGTATATATCCTTCTAATTTTATAGTTATCACCATTATCACTCTCTTTGCTACCAAATTTAGTTTGTATATGAAAATTTTACAAAATGAGAACAAGCCTCTCTGACTAGTCTGTTCTTAACAGCTAGATTAGAACCACTGAGAAAGCCTGTTCATCAAAAAATATTTATTAATCTTTTAAAGAAAAAAGTAAAAATATTCCTTTCCTAGGCCGGCGCCACGGCTCACTAGGCTAATCCTCCGCCTTGCGGTGCCGGCACACCGGGTTCTAGTCCTGGTCAGGGCACCGGATTCTGTCCCGGTTGCCCCTCTTCCAGGCCAGCTCTCTGCTGTGGCCAGGGAGTGCAGTGGAGGATGGCCCAGGTGCTTGGGCCCTGCACCCCATGGGAGACCAGGAGAAGCACCTGGCTCCTGCCATTGGATCAGCGCAGTGCGCCGGCCACAGCGCGCCGGCCGTGGCAGCCATTGGAGGGTGAACCAACGGCAAAGGAAGACCTTTCTTTCTCTCTCTCTCACTGTTGTCCACTCTGCCTGTCAAAAAAAAAAAAAAAAAAAAAAAAAATTCCTTTCCTGAAAAAGAAAATAGTATTGGACGAGGAAGAGCTCATTAAACTCTTCTATCACACTCGGACAGAATGTTCCACAATATTAAAAAAAATTCCTAACACAAAGAAAATAATATATGTCTGAAGTGACAGGTATGCCAATTTCCTTGATGTGATCATTGAACATTATGTGTGTGTGTGTGTGTGTATATGAAATGGTTAACAAAGAACTAGCTCTACTTAACAAATATATGCATATATAAAACTAGAGGGAAGTTGGCAAATATTAACAGAAGTGGAATTAAGGTTTAGCAAACATTTATATATGAGCCTGTGGTATTTTAATTTACATTTTAAAATAGTTTTTACTTTAGAACAGAAAATACAGAGGTATCATAAAGAATCTAAAAGGTACAAGCAGAAATTCGATTTTAAAAAGTTCTGCCAATGACCTTTAGCTCTTAGTTCCCCTGCCTCAGAGGCACCAACAGTAGCGGGCTTCTTGTGTGTGCTTGACAGATAGTTGGTTTACAAGGTACTTCAAACATCTTGTAGAAAATGGAATTAAAAGACAAGTTTATGTTAGTGTAAAAACTTTGAAATTCATGCATGTAATAGATTTGTGGGGTCTTCAAGAAGTTAATGAAAATGCCTACTATGAAAGGAGATAGGCATTGTGGCACAGGAGGTTTGGCTGCTTGGGATTCCACATGCCATACAGCTGCTCTGTTTCTGATCCACCTTCCTGTCAGACAGTGCTTGGGCCCCTGCCACCCACGTGGGTGACCCAGATGGAGTCCCAAGCTCTTGGCTTCAGCCCGGTCCAACCCTGGCTGTGGCAGGCATTTGGGGAGTAAACCAGCATTGTTGCTCTGCCTTTCAAGCAGATGAACATAAACACGTATATTTTTTTAAAGTTCACAGAAAAAATATTTTTTGAAGAAGAGAAAAACTATACAAAGACTTCAAAAATTTCTTGCACCAAAATAAACTTATTTAAAATTTTAAAATTTTAAAATTCCATTTGGTGTACCCTTAAATGGCCTGGCTTGTCGGACCTCCAACCATAGCTAGGTTAGGTTGGTTCCTCGGTTGAACAGTTATTCCTGGACAGAAAACACAGAAGACTATTCCTTCTAGCTACCTCCTGACACCATATATTTACCCTAAGGGATCATAACATTGCCTTTCCACGTGAAATAAAAAGGACTACCCTGATATTTTGGGACTCCTCCAGTCTGACAAATTTTCTCCACTTTGCTTCCTAATGCCTAAAATCCCTCTAACTGGAATGCAGCTTTTCAGGGACTAGCAAAGATGAAAGGCTAACACTGCAAATGCCAGGTGAGTTGAAGACTGTGAACTTGTAACCCTGCAGGACAAGACTGGCCAGATCTGGCTGACTGCACAGAAGTGGGTTCCAATGACTATTAATCAGCAAGCAGGCGTCTTCCTCTAATCTCTCGTTCCTCTGGTCCAGGATCTCCCAAGCTTCAGTCATTCACAGGCCAACTTCAGGATTTTTGCCTATCTACTTAATCTACCATTTTTTCTTTATATTGGCTCATTTTTTCTTCTTAAATGAATATATTTTAAAAGGAAAGAAAACAACAAAATCAATCTTAAAGGTGTTACCTTCTGGGAGAAATAAGTTTTAAAAATACAAAACTTTCACCCCATCCCCCACCACTGAAAAACAACCTGCAGAACAGCCATACACTGCCACCCCACACCCTCCCTGCAACACACACACACACAAGCATTAGACAATAAACATTACCAGTTTATAAACTCAGGACTACGAGGCCAAGAATTTCAAATATACAAAAATGAACCTGGAGTAGCATACTGATACGTATGCAGTGTTGCAGAAAACTAAACTTTTACATTAACTTTTTAATGCTTTTAGTTGTAACTTTGGGCTTGTTTTTTTTGTTTTGTTTTGTTTTGTTTTGTTTTGTTTTGACAGGCAGAGTGGACAGTGAGAGAGAGAGACAGAGAGAAAGGTCTTCCTTTGCCGTTGGTTCACCCTCCAATGGCTGCCACGGCCGGCGCGCTGTGGCCAGCACACCGCGCTGATCTGAAGCCAGGAGCCAGGTGCTTCTCCTGGTCTCCCATGGGGTGCAGGGCCCAAGCGCTCGGGCCATCCTCCACTGCACTCCCTGGCCACAGCAGAGAGCTGGCCTGGAAGAGGGGCAACCGGGACAGAATCCGGCGCCCCAACCAGGACTGGAACCCGGTGTGCTGGCCTCGCATGGCAGAGGATTAGCCTAGTGAGCCACGGCACCAGCCTTGGGCTTGTTTTATACATGTTAAAGTAGAAACTACTGTGATTTCTTCCTGTGTAAAAAAAAAAAAAAAAAAAAAAAAAAAAAAAGTACTTCTAAAAGTTTGTGGGAAAAAATGGAATTAAAAGATAAGTTTATTTCAGTACAAAAATTTTTAAATCCATGCAAAACTTTCTCATAACACCCATTTTCCATGAACTTTTGGAAGACTTCATGTATTTTCCCTCCTCACATAAAATATAACTCATTTTTAAGGCTGTAATGTACATCAATCAGCCTAGAACTTACAATACAACAAATCAACAGACAGGAGCATTCTGTATTTCCTGATTGATAATGGAGTAAGTCCTGGGTCAGATGCTAGTGGTAAACAAAGCCTGGACTTCTACTTGGCCCCACCAGGACAAGGCAGTCAAACTAGCTTCATATGCAACTGTAGCCTGCCAATAACAACTGCATATTCCTAACGTTAATGATGCCACAAACTACATCTTACAGGCCCCTAACTTTTATAACATCAGATGAAAAACTTAAAAAACCTCCGATTCCAACAAGCAACACTACCATTGGCACATTTCTGTACAGTCAGTAACCATTCACATCTCTATTCCATTTAAGTTTGTGCTGTTGTTGCTCCCGTAGCAAATTACGCATTCAACTAACAAGATTCATTTGTTTTGTCCTTCAGGGAATCTGGCATGTGCCATGGAAATGTGAATTGGCCAAAGGGAAGTAGTGGCAAGCCCAAGAGGATGTAGCTAACTGAAAGCTTAATGTAGACTGACACCAAACTGCAATGCTTTGAGGAACGAAAACAAAAAATAAATTGAGTATTAAACATGATCTGAAAAATAAATTTTAAAAGTTAAGGGCCCACGTTGTGGCATGGTGGATAAAGCAGCCACCTAAGTGCTGGCACCCAATATAGGTGCTGGTTGAGTCCAGGCTGCTCCACTTCCCATCCAGCTCCGCTTTGGCCCAGGAGAGCAACAGAAGATGGCCCAAGTCCTTGGGCCCCGCCTCGACCGGCATGGGAGACCAGGAAGAAGCTCCAGGCTCCTGGCTTCAGATAGGCCCAGCTCTCACTGTTGCAGCCATCTGCGGAATGAACCAACGGAAGGAAGACCTCTCTCTCCCTCTGCCTCTGCCTCTCGGTAACTCTGCCTTTCAAATAAATAAATAAATAAATCTTGTAAAAAATATTTAAAAAGTTAAACCTCTCAGTAGCTTCTGAAATAGTTATCTCACAACCAATCACAGAAATATTTGTGCAATGATACAATGCATATTCACATCAAAGGGGATCAATTTACAAATAGTCTACAATCTACAAAAAAATCTACAAACAGCCTCCCTAGGCCACCAAATGTTTTAAAACTTTTCAGTTTTTAAAACTCTGTATTTCAGAAAAGTGAATAATGGGTTTTGATCACAAGATGGTTTCCTCCTCCAAAGGCAAGTAAGTCCTTACGAAGGCCTGCAGTTTTCGTTTTTGAGAAACACTTCCAAACCATAAACAAAACTCTCTTAAGAAGTAAATTTTAAAGTAATTTTGCCAAAATACTTCGTGACTGAGTAACTTCTCCCCTTGAACATTCACAGACGCTGCTATGAAATGCACGAACTGTTGAGTCACGGGCTTTCTGCTGCACACGAGGGAAGAGTCGGAGGGTAAGCCAAAGTGAACAGCATTACTGTTTCTAGCAACAGCCACTCTCCAACTGCACACAGTATCTTAAATAACCATCGGCTTCGCCTTATGTTGATTGCTCGCATGTGTTTAACTTCTCTTCTGGTAAACTGGTGTTTTAGCAATGAACTCATTTTTCTAAAAGGCCTTAGACATTGACTCAAACACAACAGTCATCTAACAGGTTACTTTTATTTTTGAAAAAATTGCAAAAATAATTCACATCTAGTATAATAAATTTGGAAAATACAAAAAATGTTGTCATCCAAATATAACCAGAATAAATATTTCTGGCAAACAAACATACACATGTAAGATTTTAAAGAATAGCAAAAACTTAACTGGATTCACAAGAGGTCACATTTATAAATAAACAGATTAAAATTGTTTTATCAATAAAAAGTACTTCTGCTTAACTTAGCACTGTTGTGAGAATCAAATACTGTAAAGTATATTAAACTAGTTGGAAACTGATGAGCGCAAAGAGAGATGAATGAAAATGATGCTAAATTTAAACGTTAGGACAATCACCAGTGACTCCTGCTGCACATGACAGTCACCCAGGCAGCTTCCAGAAAATACTGATACCCAGGGTCCCCAAAAGAACAACGGAACCCAAATCTCTAGGGGAACAAAGCCTGCTATCTATATTTTTAAAAACTCAAATAACTCTGCTGCAGATTGCTGACTGCCAACCACTGACATAACTGAGTGTAGCTAAAGCTAGAAAGAGAGGACTGAGGACTACAGGAGCAAAGTTGTTTTCCAGACTAGAAAAAAATCTGCACATCTTTTAACAACACCACATACAGTGTGAACCTATTCTAGTTGTTGAAGGTGGGAAGTCCTTAAACATAATATTTTTGTCCTGGGGTGGGCATTTGGTGCAGTGGTTAATGCACCATTTGGGATGCATAAATCTCATCTGAGTTAGAGTCCTGGCTGTGCTTCAAACTCAAGTTGCAGCTTTCTGCCAATGGGCTCCCTGGGAGACCGCAGGGGGTAGCCCACATAGCTGAGCTTCTGCCACCCATGTGGCAGACCCAGACTAAGTTCCAGACTTCAGGTGTTGGACACACCACTCTAGCTGTTTGTCTCTTTCTGCCTCTCAAATTAATTATTATTATTTTTTAAAAAACCTCTTCCTACACACATTGCTACATACCTTATCAACAAAACGCTCCCTATGACAAATTCAGAGTGTCGAGACTATGGATGATTTTCACTTTTTTGTACTTTTCTGGATTACCTAACTTTTCTAATGAAAATCTTCCCTTTAACAGTTTGAAAACAATACTGTAAAACCAGAATATAAACTACTATTCCAGGGTAGTAGGGTTGCCGTGTGAGGTTACTCAGGCTGTAGAGTTTATGACATGAACAGTTAACCCCTGTAATTGCACAACACTAAGGCCCTTTTACTGTAATGTCAATAGTTGATTAAATAAATCGATAATTTCTACCCTTAAACTCTAAACCATTGTTCAAACTCTTTGTTAAAGTTTTTTTCTGATGCAACTAATAATGATGCTTTTTTTTCCCTTCAATTCATGCACAATTCACACTTTATTTTACCTGGGCTTATTGAAAAGGCAAGTTTCTGAAACCTTGAGTTTTCTACTAATTTAGAACACCTGATGACTAACTTGGGCGATACATCCTATCTTAAAATACTGTATAAGAAAATTCTTCCTAACACCCTACCAGGATCCCTGACACACATCACGTCTGACAGGATTCATAGCTGAAAAAGGACAGGAGTGCTCTGGTGATCAACATTATCCACTGAATACAACTGTGAAGGCAAATGAAGGTTTTAACGGCTAAGAGAAAAAGGCTGGCCTTGTGAAGAAATAATATTTAGAACCTTGAGGCTGGACAATATTCCAATGAAGAGTAGGAGACCTTCCAACAAAGCAACAGCTTGGTAGGGAATAACAGCATTAAGCAAGGATTCCTGTATTCTGCAAGTAAGCACACCTTTTACCCATCATTATGTAAGGAGAAGCCACTAGTGCCCTTGAGAGAGCAACTTAAAAACAGTGAAAGACAGTAAAGACTCTTAGTCCCCCCATGTATGTGCTTCCTACAAAGAACAGGCACCAAGAGACTTTTTTAAAAGCAGTCAGTAAGAAAGCCAACAAATGGCCCTAAGTATTCATTCAACACATCGTTCATGAGTATCTAGAATGTGCCACGCTGTATACCAGCCAAAACAAAGACAGAGGTAGAGAAAAAAATCACCTGCGGGCCCTAATGAGCTTTCAGTCTGGTGGGCACTCAAGGTATATCCAGCACAATTCCATACCCAAGAGTACCATAGTTCCCAGTACCAAGCTCCTTACCAGCTAAACATACTGCAATCTGAAAAGGAGGGAGAGTCAAAAATGAATATTACACTGTGATTGTGTATTATATAAAATGTGCTTTATATGGCTGATTACTATATTGTCCTATTTGATTCACATATAAACTTTAAAAAACTTTACAGAGTAATGTGTAATTATAAATATATTATTTGCCACAAAAAATTAGACATCAGATGTTTGGTCAAAACGGTAACCCTCAAATAATACTTGTATCAATAAGGGAAAAAATCAATTTTTATATTGGAGTTTTAATCTATATAAAGCCTAGATGAGATTACAAAATTAATCTCAACATCAGTAAGTACAGTATTATTAAATGTAATTCTGAATACTTCTTGTTAACTAAATACTTTTGCTAAAGTTTAGAGGTGACCTTAAAAGGTTGAAAATCTTAAAGAAGCCATTGTTAAGTGAACCAAAGAACTGAATCTATCATCTCTTAAACAAGTAATGAGTTAGCTCTACCAGTCTAACCACTTTCTTAACACACACCCAAATAATATGACACTAAATCTCAATGGGCGAAGCTTTTGTCTAGGTTATTTATTAACAACTTCGTAACAGAAAGACTGTGAAAAAACACAGAAGGGAAAAGCAATCTAAAATACAAATTACTCTACCATATTAACTATGTAAACAAATTTATAAAGTACCCACTATAACATTATCAACATTCATTGCAAGTTGGTGCTCATAACTGCATCTTTAAAAAATAATTCTATGAGAATATAGTTCTTTTTCCTGTCTAAACACAATAACTTTAAAACAGTTAAAATAGTTACCCTACATTTATACACCTAAGTGATTTTTCCAGACCCATGGAGCTTGTCTCTATATATTTATTTATCTCCATCTACTTGAAAGGTAGAGACAGACAGAAATTGATCATGCCATGATTCCCCTCCTCTTCTGCAAATGCCCATAAAACCCACAGCTGAGTTAGGATTAAGCCAGGAGCCTGTTGCCTGATGCCAAAACTCCATCCGTGTTTCCCACATAGGTGCATAGACCCAGTAACTTAAGCCATCATCTGCTGCCTCTCAGGATACATCAGCAAAAATGCAGGACCAGAACTGGAATAGCTAGGACTGTAACTGGCACTCCAATGAGGGACGCAGGAGTCCCAAGCTGTACCTCAACTCATGGGGCCACAACACCCGCTCCTCTCTCTCTCTCTCTTACTCTCTCTCTCTCTCTCTCTTAATGATCTTTTTTTTTCTGTTTGACAGTCAGAGTTACAGAGAAAGGGAAAGACAGAAAGAGAGATCTTCCACCCTCTGGTTCACAACCCAGACGGCCACAAAACCCAGGGCTGAGCCAGGCTGAAGCCAGGAGCCAGGAGCTTCATCAGGGTCTCCCTCAAGTGTGCAGGGGCCCAAGCACTTGGGCCATCTTCTGCTGCTTTTTCCAGGCAATTAGTAGGAAGCTAGATCAGAAGTCAAGCAGCCAGGATCCATATGGGATGCCAGGTTGTAGCAGCAGCTTTCCCTACCACATCACAACGATGCCACCCACCCCCCGCCCCACTTTTTTAAATTTAACTTTTACTAGCTATTTTAAGATTACAAGAATTATTACTTTCCTGACAAGCAGTGATCTTATATCTTACTGGTCTACCTAACTGCTTCTCTCATATATATATACACACATTACCAATTCATTTATTTGAAAGTCAGAGTTAAGAGAGAGATCTTCCACCCACTAGTTCACTCCCCAAACAGCCCCAAAAGCTGGGGCTAGGCAGGCCAAAGTTAGGAGCTTCCTCCAGGTCCCCCTCATGGGTACAGGGGCCCAATCAATTCCGGTCATCCTCTGCTGCTTTCCCAGGCCATCAGCAGGGAGCTGGAATCAAAGTAACAGCACCACAGGTGGCCCCTACCTGATTACTTCTAAGTAATCCCTTTCTTTGCCCCTTTTGTTTTCTAATAACTGGTCAGAAGAATAAATATATTGATTGGGGGCCTATGAGTTTCCCTGTTTCTTCTTTGTATATCTATCTTAGGTGAACAGAAAGCATTTTTCTTCTTACTCCTGGCTATATACAATTGTTAAATTTCAGAGCTAAAAGAGCCTACGGATGAACAAGTAAAATTTCCAAGTTTACAAAAGAAGAAACAGACTCACTGAAGAAAAAGTGACATGACCAAGAGGGAATTATGTTCAAGGTAAATACCACTAAGTAATATATATTTGGCAAAAAGAACTTAACGAGGTAATTCAGCAAGCAGACTGAAACACTGACATCACATTAAAACATCAGTTAACTTCTTATATCCTTGGTTTTAAAGCTACATTAATTATCAACATGTTAGCAACTTTCCCTTATACAAATTTGATTTCTAAAAATTATTTTAACTTAATTTAAAAATAATCTTACCCATAGCATTTTAACTGCAAATTAACACAAACTAGGTTCTGAGTTGGGGGCTTACATTCTATTCTTTGTAATTCACAGGACTTTCAGGACAGTGATCCTGGGAACTGAAGGAGACTAGAGCTATGTACAATGGAAGTCCTGGACCGAAGTTCATGAAGTACTCACAAATGATAAAACATTACAACTTCTAACTAAAGATCGTAAGACACAGAACATCAGAGTTACAGAATAATCTTCAAGTAGCTCTGAAATCTATATTTAAAAAGTTAATGTACTCAAATATACTGAAAAGTTCCTTAAAATTTTATATTGCTCAAACTATTTCTAAGGGTAAGATAAATGACATTCTTAATTGAAACTGAAAAAGGGATATAAAGAAATTAAAAAGGTTAGAGCTGAATAAATCAAATGAAGTTTACTCTAAATGCTAAAATCATTAAGTCAACTGAAATAAATTAAAACCATGATTAAAACAGCATCTATCAAATTACTGATAAGAATTTAAACTACGAAGACAAACACAGTTAATTCCTGTTATACTTATTCCAGAATTTTTTATATTTCCCTGTTTCAAAAGAGCCTCTGGTTTGTAAACAAAAGGATCTCTAAAAACAGGGAACTATCTCTAAAAGTGAAACAAATTAATCTCTCAAAGTTATACAGAGTCAGAATCACAGTAAAAGCTGCAGCCCTTCACAATAGTTTTGTTACTTTTCTAAAGATTGTCTCTGCCTCACCATTCCCCTCTCACCAAGGACTGCTTCTTAGCCATTTTCGAAGTCCTTCCATACATACTGAAGACTCAGCCAGCGAAGAGTACTGGCTTACTCCTGATACCCAGTGCTTCAGATCGAAATTTAATATTCCCTTCAAGAGTAAGCCACTCAATCACTTTATTCTGGTTGCAATCACTTGGTGGCTGGAGTAGCATCTGGATCACTTAGCGTGGTAAAGAAAGATTACCAAAAGAATGCCACAGTTGTCTATGATACATTCTGTACGGAAACTACACAGGTACTAGGGTCCAGAGACATCAAGCCCACCCTTGGCCACGGCCCAATAAAAGAGGGAGAGAGCAATTTGCCAGTATTCAAATCAAGATTTCACTCACCAGATGCTTTTTAAAAACCTAAATCCCATTTATATTAATACAAGGTTTGTTTTAAGCCATTTCTAGCTAGTCACGAAATCATCACATCCTAGAAATACTCATTCTGGCCTGGCTAAAAAGTTATCAAGTAAAAATGTTTACCATCCCTATAACTTAACTTTTTCTTTTTTAAAGCTAATCAATCATGGATTTCCCCTACCTTATAAGTGTGACTGGTGAGTTTTGAATTTCACTGAAAATTAGAAGTATGATGGCATAAACACAAATTAAGTCCACCAAGTCAAACAAAATAAGAAACATAAAGGTTATAGATTTTTAATATACTAGAGAAAACAGCAAGGAGCCAAGGTGAAAGATTCGGTAGGAATTCCATCAATACTCTGCCAATTGTGGGGCAAGGGAGACATGTATTAAACTGTATTTTCAGGTCTTCACACTATGAAGTATCATTATGCAACTTGACTTTGTAATTTTTTCAGAAGCAATAAACAACTGCTCTCACTTTCTGGTCTGCTTCAGCCAAATCTTAAGGGCTACAAGTTATACAGAGCCTGGCAACAGTAACTTTTCTTCCTTGACCCAAGAAGGCAGAGTGCCAGAGGGAAATAGCAAAGAGTAGCACTATATAAACAGGGCAAGTGGCACAAGAGCAGAGGCAAGTTATATAACCAAAATATATTTTAAAATATGTTCATAACTCGTAACAACCTTTGCCTTTGGTTGGTTTCTTGTTTGGAGTATCAGTTGAAACAGTTAATTCAATATTATCTGGATCGCCTCCTTCCTCTTCAATAGCCTACATTAGAAAGAGAAGTTAATATGCTACACAGTCTATCTAAACTTATTTTATAAAAACGAAATGAAAAAAAAAATTAGCAAACCTCAAGCCTCAAGACATTAGAATTGCCAGTCATTTCATAAACCGACTTCAAAAAACAAACAAACGAAAAAAGGGCAATTAAACTACACGAGAGAGAAACTTTCGGGGGGGGGGGGGTTGGTTACAAATCGTTAGGTATCAAAATCACACGGAGCTTTAAATTCTACCGAGTCGACAATTAAATGTCATGCCGAACAAAAATCTAAATACGCTCTACTGCGGAAAAGGTGCTAGCTACTGAAGTAAATAACTAAGGAGTGTTCCTAATTTCCATAACGCAAACTGACTGCTCTTCTACTACTATTCCAACGCTCACTCAAATAAACCAGAAAGCAGATCACTACGCTGATGCAAAAACTAAAAACCCAGTAGAAAACAAAACCTTTCTCTCACCCACCCATCAACTCCCACTACCAGTCCCCCTCCCCCAGAAGGGGAGAAAACGGTTGGGCACAATTAAACGGTAACTTCGCAGAAGTCACCAAAGTAACCATTCCCTCCGAGGCCAAGAAGTGCACGCGCTCACCATGGCTCAAGGCTGGGGACCCAGCGACCCCCAGGTCTTCACGATCGCCCTTGGGAGGCCGCGCCGGCCAGCCGTAGCCTTCGCAGCCTGGCGGGGACGTCCCGGGGGAGGGGGGACGCGCTCGGCTGCTGCGGTCGGTCCCAGGCGGCTCGCGGGCCCCCGGCGAGCCAGGCCAGGCCCGGCCCGGCCCGGCCCAGCGCGCGGGGGCGGGGGCGCCGCGGCAGGGTCCTCGCCCTGCACACACGCGCGCGCGCACACACGCGCGCGCGCGGCCGCCGCCCGGGACCCCCTCGCCGCTCCGCCCCGCGGCTCCCGGCGGCTGCGGGCGCCCGGGCAGCTGCGGCGGAGACGGGGCGCCGAGACGCGGCCTAAGCTCGCCCTCGCGGACCACGCCGGGTCTCACCTGCTTGAGTCGGGAAATGAGCACCGTCTTGACTCCAGTGATGTCTAAGTTCCGCCGCTTCAGCTCGGACTTAAGATCGATGACCCGCAGATCGGTGATCTTTTTACCTTCCGCCTGACCTGAGGCGGCCGAGGCTGCCACAGCACCGGCAGCGGCAGCCATCTTAGGAGAGCGTAGCGAGTGGGCTGCAGGGCGGCGGCAGCAGCGCCAACTTCCACCCGGGCCTCGGCGGCCGGCGGCGCCGCACAGCGCTGCGCACAATGAGCCGCTAGCCCCGCCCCCGGTCCGCCACCCCGGCGCAACCTGCAGCCGCAGCCAGCACCCGGATGACGGGCGCGCCTGCGCACTGCGCGGGGAGGGGCGGCCGGCGCGTACGGCCGCGGCCACCTGGGCGCTGCGACCCTCTTGCGTGGGCCGGGAGGTCAGGCTCGTCTAACCGCACCAACGTCCGTCGCACCGCCTTTCCCCGCCGCCGGACGAGGCGTTTTCCTGCAACGTCTCGAGTCTTGAGCCAGAACGAGGTGTTGGGCACTACCCCGCGTTCAAAGTTCACGCGTGCCCCAAAGGGGCGTGTGCGCGCCCTGAACCATTCCCAGGGAAACGCTTGGTCAGCCCTGCTGAGTAATCGAAAACAAAGGTGGCCAGTGTGCACGCACGAGCTAGGGTCCCCGGGCTCCACGCAAAAGGCCTCCACGGAGCCCAAAGAACAGGAAGGGCCGGCCTGGGTGACATGTCCCGCTGTCTGTCCCGGGCAGTTCCGCCTGCAGCCCACCTAAGCGGACTTGGCTCTAGGGTTGCCCTGGCTCGCTTGAAAAACAGGAAAACCCACTCTCCGTGTTGGCCCCGGTCTGCCATCCTTCGCAGGGGACCTGAAGGTTCGACACGAAGTTATTCACTGACTGAGGACTTCCGTTTTTAAATTCTGCCAGAGGCTGTGTGCACGGTTTCGCCCACCCCCCCCCTCCCCCCCAAACTTGGATTCCGAGATCACTGACCATCTTCTTAAGGAGGACCAGCCTGTACAAGTGAGTACCTATCGGTAACATTAGCCAGCGTTATTAATCATCAAAGCAGACGCATTTATAGAACCAAACCATAAATTCGGTAAACTGAGTAGGATGCACAATTAACTATACTTGCATGTCCTGGTTTTGCAACTTGAATTGATGAGGCCTGACTTATTTAAGGTTGGGTTTTTTTCTGATTGACTAACGAGTTCCAAAGGAGGAAGCCTGGGCGTTCTAAAATAATACTTGACATTTGCGTAGTTCTTTTAGGGCGAAGGAGGCATTTTGACATACAATAACCCCCTTAATCCTTCCCAAGTCTGGCAGGAAAATCTCTGTAAGGCTTAGAGAGATTAAATGACTTGTCCGTGTTCACACAGCTGGTGTGTGGCAGAGCTATGCTCAAATCCAGTCCTCCTGATTCCAAATCCAGCTCTGTCTGCTACAACGTTGGTTTCACAGTCACAGTGTTTTAGAATTCAAAAGCTCCGTAGAAATCTTCTAACGCAATCCTCTCCTTTTTTATAGGAGAAGATCTTAAGGGATTTGACTAGGGACCCACAGCTAATTATTGGCTACATTTACTCTAAATCTCAGATTTCTTCCCAGAGTCTTCCCACTCAGCCACTATTCTCCCATCTTCCGTAGACACATTTTTCTTTTTTAAAAATATATTTATTTGAAAGGCCGAGTTACAGAGAGAGAGAGAGAGAAAGATCTTCCATATGCTGGTTCACTCTCCAGACGGCTGCAACAGCCAGAGCTGCGCCAATATGGAGCCAGGAGCCAGGAGATTCTTCCCTGTCTCCCATATGGGTGCAGGGCCCCAAGCACTTGGGCCATCTTCCACTGCTTTCCCAGGTATATTAGCAGGGAGCTGGATTGGAAGTGGAGTAGCCAGGACTTCAACCAGCACCCATATGGGATGCTAGTGTCAAAGGTGGCTAATTTACCAACTATGCCACAATACTGGCCCCCTGTGAACACTTTTAAGAATGGATTATGCTAACCAAAACTAACAGTGTGATTGAAAATAGAAGGAAAAGAAAAGTAATAGAGTTTTAGAACAAAGATTACTGTAGGGGCCAGCCCTGTGGCATAGAGGATAAAGCCACTGCTTGCAGTGCCGACATCCCATATGGGCAGCTCCTGGCTCCTACCTTCTGCTCAACACAGCTCCAGCTGTTGCAGCCATCTGGGGAGTGAGCCAGCAGATGGAAGACCTCTCTCTCTCTGTCTCTGTGCCTCTGCCTCTCTTTAACTCTGCCTTTCAAATAAATAAATAAATCTTTTAAAAAAGAGATTGCTGAGGGGACATAACAGCAAAGCTTTACGTGTGATTGCTCTTAGAATAGTAGTGCCATTCTATTTGGAATTTTTACTTGCAAGTGGTTAAGTGAAAAGCAAGAAAGCAAACATGGCAATAGGTTACCAAAGTAAGTGAAGCAAAATATTAATTATTATTGGAAACAAATGTTGCAAAATGTTAATTAGGAAACATAGGGCTTTTTAAAAAATAAGGTTGAAGTTATTTACCATAACTTGGTTGAACATAACAATTCATCTATTTTTTATAATAGGGAAAAATAAAATGGAGAGAAGACATCACTTTTCACATGCAGGATATTTAATTTTGTCATTTAACCTATGATTCTTATTTCAAAATTACCTAAAGTAACTTACTAGTTAATGAATATTTCTTTAGTACAATATAATGTTTCAAATACATTTAGGTGAAGGAACATGATAATTTTTCTCAAGATTCAGTTTATTATTTGGATATTTAATTTTTCCTAAAGCTAATAGAGCTATCTCCCATTCTTCACCAACGTCCTGGACCATGTTGTGGACAAAACAAAGCTCTGAGCTGCTCCAGTCATGCTTATCTTTTTATATGCACTCATGTTTGTATACCAGGAACTTCAGAAAGTTCACAGAAAATTTGCCCTGTCTTTTATTTTTATTTTTTATTTATTTGACAGAATTATAGACAGGGAGAGAGAGACAGAGAAAGGTCTTCCTTCCATTGGTTCACTCCCCAAATGGCCACTACGGCCAGCGCTGTGCTGATCTGAAGCCAGGAGCCAGGTGCTTCTCCTGGTCTCCCAAGCACTTGGGCCATCTTCCACTGCCATCCTCCACTGCCCTCCCGGGCCACAGCAGAGAGCTAGACTGGAAGAGGAGCAAGCAGGACTGGAACCTGGTGCCCAAATGGGATGCTGGCGCCGCAGGCAGAGGATTAACCAAGTGAGCCACAGCGCCGTGCTGGCCCTGCCTTGTCTTTTTTTTTTTTTTTTTTTACAGGCAGAGTGGACAGTGAGAGAGAGAGAGAGAGAGAGAAAGGTCTTCCTTTTGCTGTTGGTTCACCCTCCAATGGCCACCGCGGCCAGCACGCTGTGGCCGGCACATCGCGCTGATCTGAAGCCAGGAGCCAGGTGCTTCTCCTGGTCTTCCATGCGGGTGCAGGGCCCAAGCACTTGGGCCATCCTCCACTGCACTCCCAGGCCATAGCAGAGAGCTAGCCTGGAAGAGGGGCACCCGGGACAGAATCCGGTGCCCCAACTGGGACTAGAACCCGGTGTGCCGGCGCCGCAAGGCGGAGGATTAGCCTGTTGAGCCATGGCACCGGCCCTGCCTTGTCTTTTAATTCCACTTTTCATGAACGTTTTGGAGGCCCCTTTGTTAATCTGCTGAAGAGTACTGCAAAAAAAATTACTGCTAACCTATGTTTTGTCTAGAGCCTCTTACCATTTATTTTTAGCATTTGGCACTTACTATGTTGGTTTCTTTCAACAAATATCTACTTAGTATTTAGTATCTTAAAGGCATCCCAAGTTCTAGGAAGATAATGATTGCCTTATTTATCTTGTTCATTGTTGTATGGATCCCTAGCATAGTGTGTGTGCAATAAATACTGATGGATTGAAGGAAAATAGAATCTCATTTGCACTTTGGAGACTATACTCTGATGGCAAACTAAGACATTAATCAGTTATAAAAATACATGTAAACTTGCAACTGTAGCTAGTGCAATGTAAACAAGGAATATGGCACTAAGCCCATTATAAGAAAATTTTACTCTTGGGGATAGATAGAATGATCTTTATTTTATGGGCAAAAACCCTGATGTTAACACATGTCAGTAACTAGTCCAAGAGAATCGAATTAATGAGTGGAAGACTCATTAACTGATTTGTGCCCCACATCCTTGCAACAGCCAGGGCTGGGCCAGGCCAAACCCAGGAACCCAGAACTCTATCTGGATCTCCCATGTGGATGGCAGGGACTCCACCTGCTGCTTCCCATAATATGCATTAGCAGAAAGCTAGATTGAAGGCAGAGCGGGGACTCCTACCCAGGCACGCCAACATGGAATGTGGGTATCCCAACCAGCATCAGAACTGCTGCACCAATCATATTCCTTTAATTGTTTTGGAGAGACCTTAAAGTCTGCTTAAACCGTCTTCCTGTCCCTATCATTGTGCCTTATCCCTGTTTCCAAATAGCTATTAAACCTTTCCTATCTTGAAACATCTTTACTTGACCCAGCTATTTCCTTTTAGCAACAGTTGCATTATTGTGTTTTTCTCCTAATGGTAATGACAGAGCAGGTAGATCAGATTGATGGTGCTCCAAAGATAACAAAAATGCTCAGGGAAAAAAAAAAAAAAACTTTTCAAAAAGCATCAAAGAGAGGCTGGCGCCGTGGCGTGGCAGGTAAGGCCGCCACCTACAGTGCCGGCATCCCATATGGACACCGGATCGAAACCTGGCTGCTCCACTTCCCATCCAGCTCTCTGCTATGGCCTGGGAAAGCAGTACAAGATGGCCCAATTCCTTGGGCCCCTGCACCCACATGGGAGATCCGGAAGAAGTTCCTGGCTCCTGGCTTTGGATCGGCGCACCTCTGGCCATTGTAGCCAGTTGGGGAGTGAAACAGTGGATGGATGACCTCTCTCTCTCTCTGCCTCTCCTTTTCTCTGTGTAAATCTGACTTTCAAATAAAATAAATAAATCTTTAAAAAAAAAAAAAGCATCAAAGAACTAACAAGATAGTGAAAATCACTGAGCTTAGGGCCTGTGCTGTAATATAGCGGGTTAAGCCTCTTCCTGCAACACAGGCATGCCATATGGGTATCACTTCCAGTTCCAGCTGCTCCACTTCCAATCCAGCTTCCTGATAATGGCCTGGGAAAAGCAACAGAAGATGTCCCAAGTATTTGAACCCCTGCACCCATGTGGGAGACCTGGAAGAAGCTCCTGGCTCTTGGCTTTGGCCTGTCCCAG